GCTTCTAGCTACTTTTCAAAAATCTAACCTACATGTGACTAATTTATTTTGTTTCTCACAGTCTTTGTCTGTGTCTGTCTTAGATATATTAAAACACTACCAGTAATCTTAATAAATGCTGTAAAATCATTTTGAATCCAAAGAAAGATCACAATTTCAATAATTATTACAAAAGAGTGTCACCTTCAAGTAAGTTAAAAGAGTGCACATAGGAACGTGCAGCTGGGTGTGGTGGCGCGTGTCTGTCTTTCAGGCAGCCGCTCGGGAGATGAAGACCAGAGCATCGCCTGAGTTTGAGGCCAGCTTTGGTCTGCATAGTGAGATCCAGCCCCACACCCGCCTCCTGGTGTTCAGGACACGCTGTTGTCATACTCTCCGAAGAGTACTTCCTTCCCATATATTACAGTACGCTGTTGGCAGGCTGTGGCGCCTGAGTAAGATGATGGGTGAGAAGAATTGAAACATGCATGCTAGCAAAGAATGGGAGGGGAAAACCAAGGGAGTGAGGAGAGGCGAGCCAACCAGAATTGTGGACCTGTGCTACAGAACTCACTGTTCAGTAGGGTGCCTCCAGCCCACATGGCTGTTGGGCACCAGAAACATGATTAGCCTGGAGTGAGACATGCTGCGAGCGTGTGGTCCACAGCGGATTGTGTGCTCAGGTGTGTAGGGCAGGTTGGCAGGACTGACTGCTTCTCATCAGGCAGTCCTCTGCTGTGGAGCTGCAGCCCAGCCTGTTTTGTTCCTAGACAATCTTTAGTTTTCTGGGTTTAACCAGAATTATAGGCATGTACCACCATGCTTATACACAATAGGCTTTGAAGTAATGGTAGAAAAAGTGAAATATCCCAGTAATTTTAAAATCCTGAATATATATTAAAATGGTATACAGTATCTTTTTAAATTAACTTTAATTACAAATGCTTGTCCGTGAATGATGGAGTTACATTCCAATAAATCCACCTTAAATTGAAAACATTATTAAGCAGAAAAAGCCTTTAATACATCTAACCTACAAACCTCGTACCTTAGCCCAGCCTGTTTTAAACATGCTCAGAACACTCACAGTGACCCACGAAGCGACCCATGAAGTAATCTAACCTGAGCCCACAAAACATAAGAAATTGAGTGGGCTGGGGATTTAGCTCAGCGGCATAAGCACCTGCCTTGCAAGCAGGCGGTCGTGAGTTCAATCCCCGGTACCGATAAAAAAAATCAAGTATGGTGACATAAAATAGTAAGTGTTGGCTGCCTCATGTGTCCAGAGGATGCCGATCAGCAGCGCACTAGAAAGCCTGGTGTGGGTTGTTGCCCCGTCACAGGCTGATTCCTGGTTCTTGCTGCTGCTGCTGCTGCTGCTGCTGCTTAGCCCTGTGAGCATCACTGGTCTCCCCTCACTAGTGAGATTAGAATGCCCATTTCAGAGTTCCTTCTCCACTAAATGTGCATGCTCTTGCCTCACAGTGAAGTACAAGCTGCCAAGTCAGTACATGTATGTGCTCAGATGGTTTTTCATACATTGGAAGCATTGAGATTGTGATCATAAGGAGTGGTAGGTCCCCATGGATGTGCGGGTATTCCTACTCCCACACCCCCAAAGTAAGTACTGCATCATTTCTTTGATGAACCAGGAAGTAAAAAGCTTTCCTCCGGTGGTTCACCTCTGCTCAATTTTAATAGATGCAACATTTTTGCTATTTTTAGAATAACAACATTTGAATCACTTGGTCATGGTGATTATTTCTGTTTTCAGATCATGTAGCATGGATGAGCTAAATCAGTAATTAAATGGGTAGATATTTAAATGGATTTTTACTTGGATCGTTGATAAATTCTAACTGGGTAGTTTTCTGAAATTACCCGGAAAGCAAGCAAATGAATCTTTTTATATACTATATTTAAATAGGGGAAAAGACACCATTTCATATATTTTTGTCATATTAATTAATGAAACATTCCCAATAGACTCATGTCATTTAAGTAATTTGTTTCAGATAAACTGTGTCTATACAAAATACCTGTGAGAAAAGTGAATTGAAAAACCAATAAGATAGTGTCATGTGAATTTTAGTTTTCTTTATAGTTCTTGGAATTTTAGAAGTGTGGGTATTAGTTTTCTTTCAGAGCTGGATAGTAAATTATGTTTGTGTTGTCTGCAGACTACGTGTGTTATCGTACCACCTGTGTGGAGCTCTGAGCTTGTGGCCTCACAACATGGAGGTGGAAATAATACCTCCTGGGTATCCAGGAGAGGTCTTAAGTGGGTAGTCGCTGAGGCTTTTTGTCAGGAGTGTTTTGTACGGCAAAATCACATCGTGGGTCTCATAATCATTGAGCTGTAGGTTACAGGTCTACTTGTTCAGCTGATAGGGATCCAGTAGTGAAATGAGGCACATAGCAAGGGTACATGGTGAACGGCACCCTTTAGTTATCTGTAACCTCTAAGCATAGGAAGAACGAAAGCCTTCCTGGAAAGGGCTAAGCATGGGATCCAGATGTTCTGGTCACCACCCAGTGCAATGCCTAGCTAGGCTCTTGGTAGCAGGTGTTAGTTGCAATACAATCCCAAGTGAGGCTTCTCTCTGGGAGGCTGTAGGCCTGAGGCTCGAGTCTGCATCTTGAGGCTGGCTTTCCTCAGGTTTGCCTCCAGCAAGTGCAGTCTTGGTGTGGCCTCTTCTGCACTGATTCCTTGAGAGCCCAGTCACTGATTGCTTATGAAGGTCTGTTTAACTTTGCTGTCTCTAACTAAGAACATGACCGAAAATGAGGATTTTATCACATTATATAGTAGAAATTGAAAACAACCAAGAAATATAAGCATTCTTCTTACCTCTTTTTTAAGCAAATATTTTTATATATTATTATGACAAAGGAAAGTTATACTTCCTTTTTATATAGTATGTGAATTTTTTAGTGTTATTCTTTCATTTAAGATGTGGCATAGTTAATTATTTTCTTCCCCTTAATAGGAAAACTATGCAAGAGTAATTCAGGCTTCCCCAAAATACAACAAAAAGTGTTAGAACTAAGACTAGAATTCCTCTGTAGGGGTACTGGGTTTGCTTACCACACGAAAGTGAGTGTTTAGTAGCACAGACTTGCCTGGTGCTTGGGTGCTTGCTTCAGATCCCAGCCCTGTTTCTTGCTCAGTGTGTGACTGTATTAAACAGTTACCTTCACTGTCTTATTTCATTATTTTAAATTATAGCTAATACTGCTTACTTCAAAGATCTGGCAGAGTTCAGTGTATGTGACAATTTAGAACAGTTAATGGCGTGTAATGTCAGTGTGCTTGCTATTTATAATAAAATTAGTAACAGGATGTTAATTTTATTGATACCAATATGGTCAACAATATAGATCATTAGAAGAACAAATGCATGTATAGTTTTATAATTTTAGTGAAAGAATCTACTCGGTATGATTCAAAGATTTATCAAGCATAAAGTAAGATTTTACTATATAGCAGTTAAGAAACTACGTCAAAAGATACCATAGTCTAATGATAGAGTGACTGGAGGAAAAATTTGAAGGCTACGTCATAAGACTAATCATGCTTTCCAAGAACACCTAACAACCATTAAAGGAACCACATCTATCAAGAAAAAGGAAAAGATACCCAGATAGCTAATATCTAAACAGAGGGTCTCAGAGTTAGTTACTATAAACTGAAGTGGCCCCCAGTTTTCATGTGGTCAAAGTGAAGTGTTCATGTTGGGGAAGACTAGGTATTCTTAAGCGCTATTGACAAAAGGGATACATTGGTAGATCCTTTAAAGAGAACTCATTGGCAGTGGTCAGTTCTTAAAGCATAAATCCTTTAAATTTCCCGTTTTCCCTGTAGGTAATTTATCTCACAGATTGATTACAGAAGTTGACTTCATAAATATAAATAAATTTACCCTTTTAAATATTCATCAAGTAAGATTTGGTAAATAATATTTTCTCTAAAATAAATCTTATAGGATTTTTTAAAAAACGACATGAAGTGCTAACACAGAAGGGTATCTGGGATATATTAAGTAAAAAAAGCAAGTTGTAGAGCTTTATTAAATTTTACTTGTTTAAAATGTAAACTTACGCTTATTTGTGCTTACCTAAATGCGTAGCCTAGAAAGAATACACAAGAAACTGTTAACTGTAGCTGTGTCTGGGAAGTAGAATGTCAGCTACCAGAGAAAGGAGGTAATTTTTCCTTCCTTCCTTTTACATTCTTCATTGTCTGAATTTACAATGAATATGTTGTTGCTCTGTGTGTGTGTGTGCATGTACACATGTGCTAGGGCAAGAACCCAGGCCTTCTTGTGTGCTAAGCAGGTACTGTACTACTGAGCTATAACACTAATTCCCCAAGCTTGTTACTTGTATACTGGGGGGAGGGTGTGCTACAGAAAGCTAGACTTCCTTTCATACTGGTTATATTATTTGTTCATTGCTGTATAACCTAATACCCTAAAGCTTAGTGACTTGAAACAACAAACTTTGTACTTACAGTTCAACTCAGAGAGACACTAACCTGGGAACAACCTGGCTGGGTTATTATGGATCAGAACTTCTCATGAGATCATAGTGGAGCTGTTAGCTGGGCTGCTGTTGTCTATTGCACGGAAGGTTGCATGTGAACTCATACTTGTGGTTGTGGACATGTGCCCATTTCTCTTTGGCCACTACGAGTGCTTTTCTCACAGGGCCTTCCCCATAGCTCTCTTCACAGCTCAAGCTTTGTCCTCAACACTGAGGAACGTGAGAGAAAGAGCACCAGTGCCTGGGCCTGGAGAGATCTTGGAAGTGCTGTGGTTCAATGGCCAGGTCCTGGTGCATTGTGACCAAAGACTGCCCAAGGGTGTGCAGAGCAGGGGTGAAGACAAGTGCCATAGTGGATCTGTGGGAGTATTTCTTGTGTTACTTTGCAGTTATGGAGAACAAATTCAGTTGGCTTCGTGTTAGTTGTGAGCCATGTTTTTGTCAATCCTGTAATAATGACTGGCTTTTTTTTTCAGGTCCAGCACAGAGTCAGATGCAGGTTCCGTCTGGGCATGGATTGCATCATCAAAACTATGTCGCTCCCTCGGGACCTTACTCTCTAGAACCTGGGAAGCTGGCCTCGTCATTGCCAGATGGCCAGTGCAATGATTACTACTCTGGTCTCTATACACTACCAGCGCAGAAGGTGGCGACCCCGGGCGCAGCCAGCCACACCGGAGCACAGCAGGTGTACTGCGGGGGGCCACCTGCACCCCCTCTGCTTGGGACCCTGCCTGGACCCGTCCCAGGGGCCACCGTGGCAGCATCCCACATGCATACGAGTGCCTCCCAGCCTTACCCCTCATTCGTGAATTACTACAGTAGTCCAACCATCTACACTGCCAGCTCCTCTGCTGCCTCTCAGGGATTTCCTGCTACTTGTCATTATGGGGTGTCAGCAGTTTCTAATGCTGTACACCCCAGCGTTTCCTATTCTTCTCTGCCACCTGGGGACCCCTACACGCAAGTGTTTACCTCACAGAGTGCTCTGGCGACCGGGCCAGGCAGAAAGGGTTCATTTCCTGGTCAGAATGCAGCTCCAAGCCGCCCGTCAGCACTTGCTGCTCCTCTGCCTCCGCAGCACCTCCAGCAGCAGAGTCTTGCGGGATACAGTGCTTTGTCGTGGTCCGTGCCAGGCCTTCCGCCCACCCAGGACAAGCTCATCAGAAACCACTCAGGACCATTGGCCTCAGCCAGCAGCAGTCCTGCGAATCCTGGTAAGTTGACCCAAATGCTCACCAGCACATGGCTCAGAATCTGTGCCATGCAGGCTGCTGTTCGTGTAGAAGTTACAGACAGTGAGACGTAATAGGAACACTGAGCATTAGCTCCTATTGTAGTGTGTTTTGCTTTGATTGTTGCAATATTTTGCAGACTCCCTTTGAGCCCTTCCCTCACCATTTACAGTTAGCTGTGAAACCCCTGCCTTGATTAGCCTGGTTCTTTGCTATGATTGGGCTCTCAGTGTCTGTTGATGTGTCCCGTGCCTCTCCTGTAGATGTCTTCAGTTGTGGCTGGGGTACGGAGCACTTTGGGGATTTGACTTGCTGCCGCTGCTTTCTGTTCTATATGAGTTCAAAATGGATAGGTGTTTTGCCCTCCCAAGCTCCCTATACAGCAAGATGGAGACCTGCAACATTACATGGCTTCCCTAAGCACGCCTCTGTGGAAACTTTCACAGAAGCTACCTTTGCTACACATACAAGCTGTCTTCTCATTCTAAGTTGGTAAATTAGGATGAAGAATAAGGAAGAGAAGTAAGATGCATGGAGAGTGCTCTGGTAATTACCATTTCCTGACTTTGTTAAACCAAGATGTAGTTAGTTGTGCTTTAAAAGTTATGTATGTAGGATACAGTAGTACATCAGTTCACAAACTTAATTCTTTCCATGATCCTGAGTGCAAACTGAAGCAGACTCCTATAATCCTTGGAAGGCTGAGCAGGAGGATTGCCTCCAAGACCAACCTAAACTACACAGCAAGAACCTGTTTGAGGGGCAGGGGGGGTTATGTTTCTATGGGCTAGTCTATTTAATTCAAGCTTGCAGGCTTGAATTTGACAATGTGACCTTGCACTGAACAGAGATGCATGCAAAGTGTGGTAGGTATAAAACTGACAGTATTTTGGATGATGTCCTTGGGCTGTTTCCCAGTGTCCAGGCAGACATGTGTCAAGCCATGTGGTGTGAAGAGATAGCCTTCCCTAGACTTTTGGAGTATTTTAAATAAGAGCTTTAAGTTGAGCATGGCACACCTGTAATCCCAACAGTTTGGAAGGCTGAGGCAGAAGAAACACAAGTTTGAGTCCAGTCTGCGCAATTTAGAGACTTGGTGAGACGCTGCCTCAAAATAAGAAATTAAAAGGATTGGGGCTAGAGGGATATAGCTCACTGTAGAGGGCCTGGGTTCAATCCCTGTATCACTGAAAAAACAAAACAAAAAAACAGAAAAAACAAGTTGGTGAGTTCATACTAGGCATGAAATAAAAGAACTTGTGACCTCATTTGCCTCTTTAGGAAAGCATGTTAGTGTTCATAATGCAGCGCTAGAACTTCCAATTATTTTATTAAAATATTTACTCCAAGGCGGAGGATTTTGCTCAGCGTCATAAGCGCCTGTCTTGCAAGAGCAGGGTCATGAGTTCAATCCCTGGTACCCCCCCAAAAAATAACATAAAATAAAATACTCCAAATATAGGCATCTTGGGTGCTGTGTTTAATGTTAGCTTAGGCTACTGTTCAAAAGGTATCATTTCATTAAACTGTTTTAAAATTACAAACTTCCCCTGTAGGTGAATCTCTAGTAAAATTAAGTAAAGATAACCATTTTTGATAGCTGAATGAACACTGAAACCATGGATTTATTTAAACTCATTTTCTTAATTTATTTTTACTATGGTTTGAAAAGCATACGATTTTTAAAGTTAAGATAAATCTTCATACCAGAAAAAATATTTTAAGAAAATAAAATGTTTTGACTATTTCTTGCTTGAATAGGAATCACATGTTGATAATATATTATAAAAGTTAGTGCAGTTTTATTGTGTATAATTTTATACAAGAAGCATTTAAAAAGCTAAATACTAGTGTTCATGAAATAATGAACACTAGTATAGTCTTGGTATGGTATAAAAGTTCATCATGTAGTCACTTGTAAGTTCACATTGTATCTGTTCTCTTTAGGTGATGATGTGCCTGAAAAAAGCCAGATAAATCCTCAGTTGGAGATGGTTTTTTGATTAAAGAATATAAGTTAGAAATGAATTAGATAGCTATGTTGGACACATGGTCATGAAAGGCACACAAGCATAATACAAGAGATTATTTTCAATCTTTGGAAACTTGGTGAGATCACAGCATTGTGACCGGAAGTAACAGAACTTTGTTCCCCTGTCCCCCCTATCCCCCTGCCCCTTCAGTTTTGACAGCTCCTCTTGCACCTCACCATCTTATGAGAGTGGTGCCCAGCACAGGTGCTCCTCCCTGGGACCGGGAGAGGAGAGCTATCTCTGTGTGTGCATCTCCTGCAGGTTAGGCATTGTATTATCTCTTCTTCAGGGTGTCAGTTCTCAGATGGAGCCACCGTGGCACTGGGGAGGTGGGGGAGAGAGACGTGTAAAGGAGAAGCACACGTGGTCCGGCTGCAGCCCCCATAAGTCTGTGAGCTGGGTGGTGGCACTGGGAGCCTTGGGTTTCAGCGTTGCGGTGGAGACCTGGAGCAGTCAGAGAAGCCGGAAAGAAGTGCTGGAAGGAGGTCACAGTTGATGGCAGGGGCTGGGTGTTTAGATGGCAGAGATGACTCAAAAATGCGTCAATTATGGAATGCATGAAGGAAAAGGAAAAAGAAAAGGCTGCACATTTCCAAGTTGAGCCATTGGAATGAGTGATCCTACTGGTGATTGAAAATTTATGGGATCTCTTCTACCTTCTAAAGACATTTGCCCACAATTACTTAAGATAGGGTTTATTTTTATATCATTGACACAGGAGTTTTCTTTTGACAGGCTTTCCAGGTACCCAGCCAGTCCTCACATTCTGTCTGAGGAAGTGAGTTTGACAGGGCTGCTGGGAATTAACCAAAAAACTGCCTAAAGTATCAAAAAAAGAGAAAAGATTTATTCTGTGTCAGGATTGCTGCTTCACGTTCTGGGAACTGCACAGCAGTTCACTTTGCCTAGTGGGAGTCATGGGTGGGTTTCTTCGAAAGGCTATAATTTGTTCTGATGAGCGTGCTTCTCCAAGTTTCTGGGCTGTGCTCAACTCTGGGACCCTTTTGCCTCAGCTTCCCAAAGTGCTAGGATCATATATACCTATGTGCCCCCAGACCTATGCAAACTTGATTCTTAAGGATCATGAACACAGCTTTTAGCACATTTGGCCTGTTAGCCCTGAAGTTTAGGGAAGGCCTCCCTGGGGGAGAAGTTTTGGTTTTTGTTGGTTTTGTTTTGTTTTGTTTTTACTGCAGTCTGAAGGATGAAATTTCCATGTATAAAATAAATGGTGGTTCAATCCCCAGTATCCAAAAAACAAATAAATAAAATTGTGAGTGATATAAATATTTAAATGTAAAAAGGCAAAACTTTAAATTTTTTATAGCAAATATTGGTAATTTCCTTCAGAGCCTTGAGTAGGGAAGGGTTTCTTCTTAAAGAGGATACCTATATGCTAGTCATGAAGGATAAGCATAATAATCTTCACTTTCTAATTAGAAACTTTTCATCCCTGAAAATATAGAGGAAAAAAAAAAGAAAAATAAAATGTAAAGACAATGAAAATTCAGACTGTAATCTGAGAGAAAAAGTAATTTGTAGTATAAAAAAGTAACATGTGCAAATTAAAACCAACAACCAAGACAAGAATAACAAGAACCGGCATGGAAGATGAAATGAAAATGCATTTAACCTAATTAACAATCAGCAAAAAGCGGTTAAACTAAATGGGATCTGTTTTTACACTTATCATCAAATTTGTAAAAATTTGAAAGTCTGATAGTTCTAAAGACTGTGAAGGTGTGAAGTAACAAGAAATTCTTGATACTGTTGCAGAGAGGGTATACTGGGTCTGTATGTCAGGCAGTGAGACATTAGTGAATGGAAGATGGTCACACCCAAACCTGTAGCCATCCACTTCTGTAGACAAGCTCCCTGGGAGTCTTGTCAAGCCCTGTGCATGGGTTACTGAGAATCTTATGAAAATGCAAGCACTGAGTTTCCTGTGACCTGACCAACGGATTCCGTGATTTCAGTAAACTCTGTCAGGCGTTGCTAGTTCACAACCACAGTTTGAATAGGAGGACCCTGGAGCACCACTTCCTGTCTTTGATGTATAGTTCTTGCCAGAGATGCTGCCTTTGTCTGGAATGCTGGTCACAGAGGCCCGAACCCCTCACTGCTCACGGGCTGCACTGCTGCAGGATTGAAGGCTTGCTGTTCCTCACCACTGCCTGCACCTGCTGAGGCTACAGGCACACAGACGCACTCCTCTGGGAAACCTGGGGATGTGCACCAAGGACTTGTTCACTAGTGTTCACAGCTACACTGTTTGTGCAAACATAACTTTTAGAAATACCCTTAAAGTTCATTTATGGTAAAACAGATAAATTACTCTTCACAGTGGATTTCTGAAGAGCAGTGAAGATGCCACTGAATCCCAGAAACAGTGTAGGGTGTTATGGAAGAGTATACGCAGTATGCTGTGGCTATAGAGTAAAAATCAGGAAAAACAAGGTTCAGGGCCACCTGTCTGTGTGGTAAGCTCTTTACAAAGAGAGCCAAGAAACAATAAACACAATTTGGGGCAGGGCAGGGTAGGGCAGGCCAGGCCTTCCCTTCCCTGAGGAGCACTTCAACAGCACTGAGGACCTCCTTGTCAAAGAGCAATGCAAGCTTATGAGTGTTACTTTATCTCTGCTTTAGTGTACATGCATGCATATACGTCTAGGTATATCAACAGGTGCATATATTTGATCTTAGACGATTATGTCTGAGTTTGCACTTGCATATTCCTAAATATTTTGCATACTTTGTGTTATGATGGCAGTAGAATGCATGGTCTTAGTCTTGGTAGGCAAGCATTCAACCAGTAAGTGACATCCCCTAGCCCACAATAAATATTTTTGTTGTCAGTTGTGTTTACAGTTTAAGTATGTCATTCATGTATAACTGGTTTAAAACTACAGCAGTGTATTCTTCTGCATGGTTCTGTGGATTGTTGGGAAGTTCCTCTGTTGGTTGGCGGGGCTCATTCATGTGACTTCATTGAGCTGGAGGTCTTCACCAGGCTAGAAAACCCTGGAAGTCTCCCAACAGGCCTAGCAGTTGCCACACACTCTTCCCATGTGCCGACGTTTTTTCTCCCTAGACTGGCTCTGCTTCCGTGTGTGGTAGGTAGTTCCACAGTCTTTCAGGAGTGGGAAGGCATCAGCTGCGAAGTCTTTTGAAACCTGGGGGTTGGGATGCTTTTACTTATCCCGCAATCTATTGCTTAAAGCCAGCCACAAGATTATTTCTAATTCAAAGGGTAGGAAAATAGAATCCACCTTGTTGAAAGGAATAGTAAAATATTGTGATATTTTCAGTCGCCCACAGTGACAGTCTGCTTACTCAGACTGGTGACGCAGTCAGCGTGTTTAGGTTCCGTTTTCTCGTTTCTCTTATTTCATTTGTATTCTAGGGCACGCAGTGTAACACATTTTGTTCTGTCCCCCATTCCTACGTTTGTTTCAGTCTTCGACCTGTTTGTTTATATGTATGCCTATGTACATCCTTATTTGTGTGTACATTTATGTGTCTCTACATGTATTTAGTCAGCATACTGTCACTACTTTTGCCATAAGTTTTCAGTTGTCCTTTGGTTGGGTGGTCTAGAAGATTATCCTGGAGATGAGTGTTTTTCAGCCAGGGGAGGTTTGCCACCTGGTAGACCTTTAGTAATTTGAACTATCACAAAGGCTGCTATGAATCGCATGTCCTTTGTTCCAGAAGTCTAGACTGCTGTGGTGAGGCCTTTGCTTAGTTACATGTGAAGCAGGTTAGAGACATCAGATGAGCACTGAGGGTAACAATACAGGATGAGGTCAGAGCTGACACTGGAAGCATTTGTGGACCCAGTGCCATGTTACTGCAGTCCGATAACCTCTGGTCATCTTATTGGAAATGGTGTTACATGGTGCAGTAATTAACAGTGGTACTCATCAGTAAGGATGAGCTGTTTAGGGTTCATTTTGCCTACGAAGGTAAGAAGCTATGACATAGTTTAGAAAAATTAGCATGAAAAAGTATTTAAAACGGTTTTCAGTTTTTTTGGAATGTCATGTCTTTTGGACCACTTTCTCTCCTAATACAGGTAAATGTGCTCTACAACTTCAAATGAACTGTATTTTGTTGATAAGTCTTTTCATATATTTCAAGTGCATTCCTGTGCATAAAGTAGTTTCTTGTCTCCAGTTGCAGATTCTCTAGCCGGCCCTAGTATGCAGAATGCCCCACCACCCAGGTCCAGCCCGGTGGTGTCCACTGCTCTTCCGGGAGCCCTGTCAACAAGAGTGCTGCCTGCTGGGAAGCACCCTGGGGAGCTGGTGGCCTTGGGTGCCCAGCCACAGGAGCTGCCACCACAGAAAGGTACTCAGATGTCTGCTCTCTCCTGTGCGCCGCACACAGCCCAGTAGCTGGTTTTACAAGGATAACCCATTTAAGCATAATTCATAGAAGAAGTAATGTATAAAACCATCCAAACATGAGTGTTTTCTATATATTAAATTCCAATTTTTGTTTTTAACTATATATTTTATGTGATTGCAATTATAATTTACATACTGTTTTGCACTTTGTTTTTACATTTATTAAATTATACACAGTTCTTCATATATACTATTGTGTTTTCAGCCACTTTCTTAAATAGTAATCCATTGTGTTACTACTTGATGATTTACTAGTCCATCCCTGTATCATGGGACATATATTTCCTTTTTAAAGGTCACTGATTTTTTTGTTTTAGGATCAAGCAGTCAAGATTTTCCTATTTAGTGAGTCTCCATGTCCTATTTGATATTTCTGTGCTTGTCATTGTTACTAGGAAGTATCCTTTGACACAATTTTGGGCAAAAGGGAGGGTGAAAATGAAATTGTGGCTCCACCTTTGGATCTTTGATTAATTTGTTTAATATTCTTATATAAGTGATAAAATGTGTTATTTTGATCTTTTCCCCCTACATTCTGTTTTTGTTTTTTTCAAAAGGTTTGTTTGTTACTTTCTGTTTAGCTCAAACTCCAAAGTATTCATGTTTCAAGTCCTGTATTTTTGCATTTGACCAGAGGTAACTGAACTGTTTTCAGGTGTCAATAGTTCATGTTTTCAGAGCAATCATAATATTGTAAGGCCTGTATACTGACAGCCTCCAGCCTTGAATATGAAGGACCCTTCAGCTAGTATTGCAGCTCAAAAAAAGCAAAAGCATCATAAATTCTTAGACTGGCCTTGCAGTTTGTATCTGCTGAGTATTTATGTGATCAGCAGAGGACTTTCTGTCAATTGATCAGATTCTACATTGTAAATGTTCTTGCTTTTTTAGAAAACCAACTGTAGCACTAAAGAGCTTTCATTGATCCTCAAAAGCCAATGAGTAAGCTGGGACTAAAACCTAGTGCTGTATGGGGCTGGGGATTTAGCTCAGCGGCATAAGCGCCTGCCTTGCAAGCAGGCAGTCATGAGTTCAATCCCTGGTACCGGTAAAAAGGAAAAAGACAAAAAAAAACAAAAAAACAAAAAAACAAAAAAAAACCTAGTGCTGTAAAGCATTTGCCACCCAAGTGAGGTAGTTCTGCTAAAAATGTTTTATCATGAGCGGAAAACAAGGGTAGGTTGGAACCCTAACTAAATGAATGGTATCTTTTTCATGCTTTTCCTCTATGGTGATGGTTATTTTCTATTTCTCATTTAGCCTGCATCTTTTGGCCCTTTACGTTGCTCATGCTAAATTCTTTCTTCTGTTGTTTTCTTTTTGACCATCTTGTTTTGCATGCCATTCCACCATCTTACTGTAGATGTCATTTTGAGACACTCTTTGCCAATAATGACAATTATTTCTTCTCTTCTTACTAGTAGATTTTGAAGAGAGAAGAAGCTTCTATTCATAGAGCACTTAGTATATTCCACTAATCCCCATACTAATTCCATGACACAGGTATTATCCCTGATTTATAGATGAAAAGTTAGATTCACAGAGTTTAGGAATCCTAAGACTATAGGTTACACTGCCATAGCAAAAAAATCTCTGAACCAAACCTATCTTGTTTTCTTCCTATAAGACTGATTTGTGTTGAGTCTTGAAAAACTCAGGGTTTAATTAAGATAAGCTGTTTAAATAACAGAAAATATTAGAGATGTGAGCTATAGTTTTGTGGCTCCTTTCTAAGCAGGAGCTTGACCTTTCAGTGGTCTCTCTGCTCTGGACAGAAGCAGGCTGACTGTCAATCTGGGCTACCAGGACTGATTATGCGAGTGGCGGCCCCTGCTGCGTGAGGAGTCTTCCCCCTTGGAGCTGTGCCCTCAGCCATATGTAGGGAGCATGCAGGCTGGTGGCACTCAGACATGAGTGTGCTCTGTCTCCGTGGCCTCGAGTTCCATGAGTCTGCATTTAATCAACTACAGTGAAAAATGTTCAAGGGAAAAATGTGTACTGAACCAGGATGGGCTTTTTCTTATTTATTTTTTAAAGTGGTATAGCATAATGAGTGTTTACATAACACTGACTTTGTGTTAGGTGTCGTGTGTAACATAGAGAGAATTGAAGAATGCCAGGAGGATGCGTGTAGATGTATGCAGTGGTGTACCATCTGCACAGTGGACTCAAGTGTGTAGGGCTTCTGAAGTCCCAGAGGTTCTGGCCTGGATCCCTGATAGGTATGGACTATAGTTGTGCTCGAGCAGATGTGTCAGCCAGGGTCAGAGCAAGGCTGGAACTTACACTCAAGAGGCTGAGCCCAACCTGGGCGATGTGTGGTGGCTTAGAAAGTCACTGTCTCAAAAAAAAAAATCAAAGGACTGGGAATGTGGTAGCTCAGTGGCCCTGGTTTCAGTGCCCAATACCAAAAACAAAACAAATGAAAGCCCAGAGTATTTTTTTATTTTGTAACTATAAAGGCACCCTTACTAAAGCCAAACATTTTTGGTAAAGGTGAACTTCGCATTTTTCTTGAGCCCTCCCCCACCCAAAAAAAAAAAATTTAAAAAAAAATAGCTAGGTATGGTGGCACACACCTGCAAGCTCAGGCTCCAGGAGGCCGATGTAGGAGGATCACCTCAAGTATGAGGTAGCCTGGAACATAGTCTCCAAAAAAAGAACAAACTGTGTAACGATGATGGACATTAATTTTTTAATAAAAAATTTAAATGGTTAAAGTTATAGAATGTGTTGACTTTTTAAATAAAGTCGAGCTGAGTGTGGTATGGTGTAAGCCTAGCACTCGGGAGGCTGAGGCAAGAGAACTGCTTTGAGTTTGAGGCCAACCTGGGCTACTTAGTGAGCTCAAGGATGATCTTGAACTTGCAGTGATCCTCCTGCCTCAGCCTCCCAAGTGCTGGGATTACAGGTGTGGTCACTGTGCCTGACTTAATTACTCTTTTTTTTGGTACCAGGAATTGAACTCGGGACCTCGCTCTTATCAGACAGGCACTTGTGCCACCAAGCTATGTCCCCAAGCCCTCCATTTTCATTTGTATAAGTCATTAAGGAGAAACTTGTTCATATAAAATAGATAAGAATGATATCGGAAAACTTACTAAAGAAGTATGTTAAAAAGTTTTAATCTAAGTTAGACATCGGAAATTGTTTGCTGTAGGTATTGCCTTGTGTTTTGTGGGTATTAACATTATTACTTTCATGTCACAGTGCCCAATTTATAAATTCCTCTAACTTACCTTACTTGGTCATCGTGCAACCTCCCAGCCCAGCTTTCTTTTGTAAAAGAGGAGACAGGTGTTCAGAGAGCCGCTTCTCTCCCGGAGACCCACGGCCCTGCCCGCGGGTGAGGCTGCGCTCAGCATCTACCACCAGCCCAGGCCTCCTTTCACTGGAGCCAAAGCTACTCGGAAAGTTGTGAATTTCTTTACACCATTGCTGGAGTAACACCGTATTATATTCTTCTGCTATAATTGTTTAGAAAGCAAGCTGTGATGTAGATCATTTATTTTATTGATACTATCCCCATATAACCTAATTAGCAAAGGCTGTTCTCAAAAAATATGCTACTAAGTACTAGTAGGTTCACCTGCTGGTCAATTTTTTTTCTTGTTATAAGAATGCAGAATGTATTAAATATTTCATGAAATAAAAGAATTATATATTATTTATATTGTAATTTACACTATTGTAACTTAATATTATAGTTTACATATGCTCTATTAAAAATGTTTTATGGTTAAACAGGTTATAAGTACTTTATTGTACATCTTTACTGACCGAAAGACGTCCAAGAGCATTTGTTTATAGTGCTTAGGTTTGGACCCAGGGCTTTACAAACGCTAGTGCTCTGCCACCGAGCTCCGCTCCGCAGCCCACAGAGGATTTTTATCCTTATGTTTATCCGTTGCATCTTAAATAACTGTGGTAGTTCTAGAAAATATTCCACTTTGTTTTTACAAGAATAATTAGTAACTAAATGCACTGGTCAGATTGGTGGGAGTTATTTTTTTTTCCCCTAATATCTTGATCTAGGGATGACTATTAAGAATAACTGAAAATAATTGTTTTTAGTTAAATATTAACAAAAACATTTAAAGTTTAGTGATGAAGGCCAGGCATGGTGGCACACGCTGTAATCCTAGCATTCTAGAGGCTGAGGCAGCAGGATTGGCCACAAGTTTGAGGCCAGCCTAAACTACATAGCAAGACTCTCTCAAAAAATAATAAGTAATGATAATAGGTAGTATTTAGTATCATGTTATGATACTAAATTAGTATCCATACATGTAGGCATTTGAAGTATATTAACTTACTTAATCAGCAACCACTTGAAGTAATTACTGTCCCATCTTACAGATGATGTCAGTGAACACAGAGAAGTTTGAGTGCCCCCAGGGACACAGAGCCAATGAGCAGCGGCATAGGAGCTGGAAGGGAACCCAGAGTCCCATCTGTGGCCACATTCTCGTGCTGCTGCTCGGTTCCTGTTTCTCACTGTTTTTCATCATCCTCACAGGACTCTGGCATGGCTGGGATCTATATAGAGGCAGAATTATTAACAGATTTCTTATTACTCCTGCCTTCTGCTTTAAGTGTTTTCCAGTGAGAACCAATGCTCTTTCTAGCATGTTTCACGTATAACCAAAACGTATCTGTCGCAGTAGAAGAAAGTCTCTAGGTTAGGGGCTCCTTGATGAATTGTGGAAGGAGGAAGGAAGGGAGGGAGACAAGGACGAAGCAAGGAAGCGAGCCAGCTTTCTTCTTAGTGCTAGAGAGGTGTTTCTGCCTCGGGCAGGGTGTCACAGTGAGACTCAGGTTCAGAGTCCCGTGTGTCCTTTGTGACCTGAGGAAAAGGCTGTTGTAGCACAGGCTGTGGATTAGGTGTCTGCATTTTAGGGAAGTGTACAGAAACCGATACCTGGAAATTGATTCTTGGAAAATCATTCTTTGGTGAAAAGTGTTCTACTGCACACAGCATTCTTAGTTTGAAGACCAGCTTAGGAAAGGTAAAATCTACTGAAAGTAGAACTCTTGAATTAAAACTGAAAAAAAAAAAAAAAAAACAGCTGCCTGCCGTAAGGGGTTTGCTCCCTTAAGGTCAGGTTGCTTTGTCCCCAGTGCAGCCGTATCTAAGGAACAGAGTTAAGGCGCAGTCCTGCCGGCTCTGTCTCCAGACAGCTCACCTTGCAGGTGCTGCGCTGGCAGGTGTTAGAGGTGAATGTCCTTTTGAGTCTCATCCCCGGCACTGAACCAGAACTTTGCACATGCTGGGTCAGTGTTGGACCATTAGTCCCATCCAGGCTCTTAGTAGTTCTGGAATGTTACCAGCACTCTCTTTTCATTTGTCAGATTCTGTGAAGTGAAAGTTTTTGAAGTATTCGCTTATTTATTTATTTATTTATTTGAGTTTTTGATTCAAGCTATTGCCATACATTCCTGGCTGTGCTTAAACTTGCTGTGAGCCCCGGCTGGCCTCACACTTACTGATCCTCCTGCCTCAGCCTCCTGAGTACTGGAATGACAGATATGTGCCACTGTGCCCAGCTCTGTGAAGTCTTTTGTTTTACTAGATTCATCCCTTAGAGGCTGTGGTTAAGACAGAGTGAATTTGGATGTAGATTTGCTCTCTCTTTGGGAATGGTGGTCTGTGCCCATTTGTGCAGCAAATTCTGGGCTGGGCTCTAGGAGAGATGTCATCCTGTTACCTCGCAGATTTGAGTTTCGCAAGCATAGGTTTTGGCTCTTGGCAAGACTTGGAGCAGAGGCACTTGTGGAAGCTCTCAATCATTTTTGTTCTCTAGAGGAGGTGACACAGCTGTCAGCACTGATGACTGTAACTCCCTGTTCGATGTAGCCAAATGCATGGTGCTTAAACATAGTGATTATTATTCTATGACTCTTCTGTTCCTCTGGGGGTGAACAAAAGTGTTATATTCTCAGTTTTTAGCAGGCATACCAAGATAGGCACAGGTAAGCCAAGTACTGAGCATAAAACTACAATTAGAAAATGGCTTAAATCTCGGCGCTTTAATCACCAGCATCTTTTTTAAAAGGTTGTACTTGTTTTCAGGAGAGGAAAATTTGGATATGTTGGGTGATTAACATAACACTTGATAACCACAGTGTGCAGCACAATGGTATTATAGGAGATGACGTCTCCTGTCCTCTGGCCCAGTCACAGGTCTCAGCCATTAAGTAGTTGCTGTATAGATTTTTATTATTACATAACCATCTTTTTTGCTCCCACTCAACCATTGGATGCTTTTCTAATAATTAAAATCTGTTTTCATTCAGCAGTTTGATGAGAGGAAAATATTGGAGAAAGCACTTCATTTTTAAAGAAGTTCTTAAATTGAAGAAGAGTTTCTTTGCCAGAAAACCTTTTACTGTTTATCTATTTAATCATAAACTTTATATTTAATCTAAGGTCTAATACTAGTCAAATTTTCATTTTAACTAGGCTTTCCTTAAGAGAAACATGCCACTCTGAATTTGGAATGTATTGAATTTATTTTATATTGAGTGTTACTTTCTCGGATGAATTTGTGGTTACAGCTGTTTTATCTACATTTTCAAATGTTTTCAGCAAAGCTAGCATATTTCCCATGATGTTTTTTTAGTCATAGTGGGAAGATCTTCACTCTCTCCAGTGAAACAAGGTTTTTGGCTTTTTTGTTGTTGTTGTTAATATTCTCAGTAAGTGGAGAACAATGCCAATTATAGTTCTTCAATTGTGATGCCTGTTACCGAAATGGAGTTACCATCAAGGTGACTCAGTGAGGGCAGTGAGGAAAGAAGGGCCTGAGCAACCAGGTGTGTTTTGTGCTACATAAACTCAGTTCAGTTGAAATGATCACTCCCCACCATAGAACACAGCCCTCACAGTTATGTACCTCAGGGGTCCCCCAGACCAAGCAGGTAAATGTGTCCAGAGCTTAAAAATGTTCAGACCACTGTGCAGTTTCCTGAATATTATCAGTGTTATATATGATAGTTTTTTATGCTTAAAGCAGTTAGTTCATAGTAAAGCTGCTTTTACTAAATTGCTTTGCAGAGATTTTCTAACAGTTTAGTTTTTTAAAGATAAATTTGCTAATACGAATATGCATGCTGGGTTGTTCTTTGGAATGTCAGATTCTTCTCACTTTTAATGCAATGTCAAAGTTTATTTCTCGTCTTTCCTGTTGGTTTGACTCTTGTATTTGTGCTTTCCACTTTACAGGCATGCAGTATGGTGACTATGTTAATAATCAAGCTAGCTCCGCACCGACTCCCTTGTCATCAGCTTCCGATGATGAGGAAGAGGAGGAGGATGAGGAAGCAGGTCTGCCTTAGCTTTACACCAGTTTTTGATCTTTCTCCTACTCAATTTTCCTTTTATTTCTATAGTTTTAGCCTTTTAAAAAAACATCTGAAGATTATGCATGATGAATCTACTTGTTTTGGGTTATAGAAGATTTGGTCACTTGAAATGAGGAATTTGTTTTGTTTTTCTCCTCTGCATTTGTTTACCTTTAGGAAGCAATAGATACATCATTCATGATAGCAGATTTTCTTCCTTCAGAAATGCATTTACTTCTCCCATGTCATGTGCCAGGGAATGAGCCCAGATTAAGCCCTGGGCTGACGGCTGCTGTGGCTCCTTCTCTGAGAAGTGTCTGCTTTACCTGCTCTTTTGTGCTGATGAGTCACATGGATTTTGTAATAGTGGGGGTGAAGTAGGACAAAGTTCTGTGAGGTCTTGGCCTTTTTATATACTTACAAGGCTCAGAACTTTCAGTTATTTTCTTGCACATGACGTAGCAGCTCCTCTCATGGTTTTTTTTTTGTTGTTGTTGTCTTTTTCCTTTTTATCGGTACCGGGGATCGAACTCACGACTGCCTGCTTGCAAGGCAGGCACTTATGCCGTAGAGCTAAATCCCCAGCCCCCATCCTCTCACGTTAATTAAACACATTATACATATGCTCATGAGTTGCAGCCTGATTAACATCTTTTTTTCTGCTTTGATGGGTAGAACACTACTGAAAATTATGCAGTTTGTTCCTCCATTTAACTCTGACAGTTTAAGACTGAACTAATAAATGTTGATATTTCAAGTTATTATTAGTAACTAAGATCTCCATGTATTATTTTGATTATTGATGGAAAGATTTGCTCCACAATCTATTTAGTAAAGTTTCTATTTCCTCTGAATTTTTAAAATATTTCAGTCTTAATGCATGATTTGGGGGAATGAAAGCAAAAGGTGTCAGATAACAAGTAATTTTTTAAAATTTAGAAATCAGAAATTTTAAGTAACTGTGTTAGCATAATCTCAGAAGATGCAGAAAGCTTAAAAGAAACACCGGTGTGTACCTTCCGGGATAACACGCTTCGCCTCATGTGCTTTGGCTCTTCTCACGGGCTCTTGCTGCCTTGAGCAGGGGTTCAGTGATACCTGGCGCACAGCCCACTGCGCAGTCTCAGCAGCTGCCTGGGTTTGGTTTCTGGCAGCTGTTGTATGGCCAGGCATTGACTTCAGTTGTTAGGTCTGCTCAGGCTCCTTCAGTCTGCAATAATTCCTTAGCCTCACATAATTCCTCAACTTCACATATTTGAAGAGCACAGCACAGTAAAATGATGTAAAATGTTCCTCAGTTCCTCATGAATCTACGTGGTATTTCTTCCTGATTGGATTTGGATCGCATGTGCTTGACAGGATATCTGAAGTTATCTGTTCTCGGTGCATCCTGTTGGAGGCATATATTAGTTTCTTCCCATATTTATGGGACTAATTTTAATCATTCACTTGTGGCCATGTCTGCCAGGTTTTCTCCACTATAAAGTTACTACATTCCCCCCATTAAAATTAATAAGTAATTTGTTAAAGAGTCTTTGAGGCAGTGTCTTTTCTTTACCAAACTGTTACTCATTCAGCATTATCTCATTCACAGATTGATGATTTTCACTCTCACAGCCCTTTTTGATGAGTTGGAGTTCTATAAAGAAGATTCATTGATTAGCTTTCCCTCTATTTGGCCAGAGCTTACATCTTCCTTATGGCTTTGTGTCTTAAAAAATGTTACTTTAAGACCACAATAAATATTCCAAACTCATGTTGAACTTCCTCTCTGCAATCCTGGAGTGAGCTGTTTCCCCAGAGAGTCCAGGTTCCTTTACTGGAAAAAAGTATTTTAGGGCCAGTATCTAGATGTAGTATGTGGAGAACTTAGTTGAAATCTGAGAAAAGACAATTAAATCCATCAAAAAGTTCTCTTTTTGTTTTATTTTTCTCTGTTTCATTTGTAACACTGTTAGAGGACAGGAAGAAGGAAAAGAACATGAAGAATATTCCCGAGCCTTGCTGCTGTGTGCAGTGTACCCCTGCTCTTGTCTGATTAGTTTTGGTAGTAGCCCCGCAGAGTGGGTTTTATCAGAAAACTTGCTCTAATGAGGGGCAACTCAGAGATGTTAAGCCCTCATTTTCCCTCTGAACTGCTAAGTGATGGCTATGGAGTTTGCCTGACATTTTTTCCTGTTTTTGTACAAGTTAGGAGTAAGTGAGATGTCAAATTATCCGAAAAATGGAGTAATATTAGCAAATACAACAATTTTCATTGACCCATGTGGCTTGACTTTTAAAGGAGCAGTGAAGCCTTTTCTAAAAGGTTTTAGTGTTTTCTAACACTTTTTCCAACTTTAAGGATTGTCAACTGTTTTTTTGATATATCCCTTCTTCCCCCCTCCCTCCTTAGCTCCCCTCCTTCCTCAGATTTTTGCCCCCTTTTTTTCTCTTTTCCCTTTTCTTTTTCTGAACCTTGACACAACCAGTAAAAAAATGAGGGAGAGAAATCCTTCCAAGTGCAGTGTATGCACTTGTCCCGTTTGCTCCTGGCACTCCAGCAGCACAGAGAGGCCGAGGAGCTTGGAGCTTGGAGCTAAGGGTTAGTGTCGGGCTCACACACAGAAAGCATTGCAGTCTGAGCACCTTCCTGATCTAAAAGCCTCAAATCTGAAGAACGTTCTTAGCACCAATACCCTGTACCAAAAATAAGCCCACCTGAACCTCACGTTGCTCCCCTGCAAACCCATACACATGCAGGAGCATTGATGACATGACTATTAGGCTGTGCAGAAAGTGTGTGTGAAACACTGGTGAACTTGGGCTTGGACGTGGGTCCCGTCTCCAAGATATCTCATGTGTGTGCATATATTTAAAAGAAAAAAATCAATCTGAAGTGCTCCTGGATCCAGACACCTTGCGTAAGGACTACTGAGCCTGTTTTGGCTGGTATCATGGTTCCAGAGTCCATAACCGGAGCATAGCTACCAGATGTGTATGGCAGGGACACAGATACCATGTGTGGTCAGGGTACTGCCCGAGGAGTACAGAAATCCAGGGTGGGAACCAGCACCATGTCACAGAAAGGGACATGGTTTTCCACAGGCACATGGGACAGGGTGTATGAGGCTTTTTAGATTTGAAGGATGAGTAGGAATGGGCCATGTGGAGAAGGAAAGCCAGGCGAACTGCCTACCATGTGCCGAACATGACCACAAGTCACACCGTGCTGGCAGCCCTTTGAGTGTTGGGTGATGTCAGCAAGCCCACTGCTGCACCCATGCCATAGGTTCCTATTGGGAGCGGCCACACAGAGGCAGAGGGAGTGTGAGGAAAGCGGATCGCACACCAGCGTGAGCCATGGTGTGGAGCTGTTGAGGGTGTGAGGGTGTTTGCAGCTTCCTCTAGGGTGGTGAGGAGAGCAAAGGTGCTCCAGAGCATTTCAGAATGTGAACGTACATGTTTCCTAGTGCATTGTGTGTATGTGTGTGTTTCGATTCTGTCCTGGTTGGTGGTGGCAGTGGTGGCATGACCTAATTATAGAGTGTTGATCTAAACAGCTTCAGCAGAGTTTAGCTCTGTTTAGCTTGGTGGTTTATCAGAGTTTATAATTGCGGCATTTTTTTTGATTCTTTGACAGGTCCAGAATAGAGCTTTGTACTTGGTCTTTTCTTCTGAAAGTAAATTTTAATTAAAATAAATGAGCAGATTTTGCTGTGTGTGGTGATGTATACCTGTAATCCCAATACTTGAGAGACTGAAGCAGGAAGATTGCTGCAAGTGCAGGGCCTGTCTGGGCTACACAGAGAGACCTTGTCTCAAAAAACCAAAAATCAGTAAAAATAAACAAACAGGTTTTAAACAGTTGAATAAATAGGGTAACTAAAAGTTTGTAGCTATGCTGTTACTACAGTGGGCTATTTTCAGTATCTGCTTTCAGTTTGACCTACAGGAAGCTAAGCAGCTTAATTAGTATGATCTTTGAAATAATTTGGTATGTTTAATCTTTCATCTGTGGGCTTCATTTTTTTCCAAGAATAATTATTTCTTTATGTACATTTTGAACTACTTCTTAGCTGATAGTGGTGGCACACACGTGCAATCCCAGCACTCTTGAGATACTGAGGCAAGAGGTTGGCAAATTTGAGCCCAGCATAGGCAGTTAAGTGACATGGGGAGACTTTGTCTCAGAAGGAAGAGGAGGGCTAGGATGTAGCACAGCATGAAGGCCTTGGGTTCAATTTTCAGTACTGGGAAAAAAATTTTTTTTTTTCTGTGTGAGAGAATGTAGTGTGTTTGTAACAGTTGTATTAAGATATAATTCACATATTCTAAGATTCAGCTATTTATACTGTTTAGCAGTTTTTATATTATCACAAAATTTGTAAGCCTCACTACCAGGTAATTTCAGAACATTTTTGTTACCCAAAATAGAAACTCTGTGTCTTTCCATGGCTTCCGGCTCCCAGTCTTGGGTCTTGAGGGAGACAGCAGTGTGTGGCTTTGGCATTGGGGACCTGGGGCCTGCGCGCCCCTGCACACTGTACCTCTGAGCCCCACACCCCCAGCCCGGTTGTGCCGTTTTTGTGGCTGGCTTTGTTTCTTTTGGCATGTTTTCAGGGGTCATCCATGTTACAGTGTGCATCTGTGTTTCCTTCCATTTAGTGCTAAAGTTATATATTTATAGCACCTTTTATGCATCTATTTGAGTTGCTTCCACTTGGCCGTGGGAATACTGCTGCTCTGGACATTCATGGGTGGGCTTTTGTGCGCATTTGTTTTCCGTTCTCTTGGGAATTGCTGGACCCTGCGCTAACTCCATACTTCAGGTTTTGAGACGCTGCCAGTGTTTTCCAGGCGGCCTCCCCATTTCACTTGTCCACAAGAATTCTAGTGTCTTCATATCCCTCCCAGAACTTGCCGTTCCCTGTGTCTTTGGTTGTGACTGTCCTAGCCTGGGCGTATAAGGTAGCTTGTTCTGCCTTATTTCATTGCCTTAGTGGCTGGTTCTTCAGGACAGTTTTTCATTGGCTTGTTGTCCTTTTGCTTAGCTTCTGTTTTGTTTTGTTTTGTTTTGCTTTGAGGCAGAGTTGTGCCCAGACTGCTTGAATTTGTGATCCTCCTGTCTCAGCTTCCCAGAGTGCAGGCCTGCACCACTAGACTCTTGTTTAACTTCTTTGGAGAAATATGTTTGCTCACTTTTAATTTTTTGGTCTTTTTATTATGCAGTTGCAAGATTCTTTATATATTGTGGATATTACACCCTTATTAAAGACATGATTTGCAAATGTTTCTTTCCACCCTTTGGTTTGTGTCTCTGGTTTGTGCTTTGGAGCACAAACGTGTTTAATTTTGTTGAAGTCAGTTTTATGTATTTTTCTCTTTTGTTGCTTCTTTCTTTGATGCCACGTGTAAGCATTCAGTGCCCTTGGGTTAGTGCATGAAGGCTCCTAAGAGGTCACAATTTTGGCTCTTAGGTTTACATCTCTGCCTCATTTTGGTTAATTTTATCTAGGGTGAGGAACGCGTCCAGCTTCTCTGTGTGGGGGCGTATCTAGAGTTGTCCTGGCTCCTGTTGTTGAAAAGAATATTCCTTCACACTGAAATGTCTTGCTGCCTGCTTGGCTTTGTTGAGGTGAAATCCCGTGGCCTGCTGAGCCATTTTGAAGCACATGCTGGGGCCAGTGCATGCATGTGCAGTGCCGTGCCGTGCTCCATGTAGTTGTCTCACCTCATAAACTTGCAGACATGGGTTTGAACTAACTAGACACAGCTAGCTGCTCTCAGCATCCCAGGGAAGGCGGTGTGGCCACAGCAGTGCTTTCCCTCTGCGGGGCAGCCAGTGGGCTGGCCGCCGCTGCCTCTCCTCCCAACACCTTGTCCACCCACGCGCGCTGCACCTGTCCTGAGTGCGCCCCCAGGATGTCCGTAGCCTGTGGCCTGTGTCGCACTCCATGCCTCACAACTGGGCAGCTGGCAACTCCGCTCCTCTGTGGTGGCTCATGGGGCTCGGATGCACTGCTTTCTAGTCTCTTCCCTGCTGAACTCCCCTGACCTTGAACTCAGCTGCTGCTATGGTTACAGACTCAGACACGGAGAGAGAAAGGACAAGCTAGAGCAACAGCATAGATCCTGTGTCATAAAGAGACACTTGGTAAGGATTAGTGTCTGCCACCTGCGGCTGCCTTTGTAGCCTTCCTACTGTGTAAGTGCTGTCGTTTCCCCGCCTCAGCGAAGCTCCAGGAAAACACGGGCTGTTTCACAGCTCGCTCAGCCTTCTTCGCAGAAGACAGTCTGATGATTGGCCCCGCCCCTCAGTTACATAGCAGGCAGTGGTGAGTCTGGTGGACCTTCAGCCTGCAGTCATGTTATTTGTTGAGAATCAAATGCAGGTAATTTGAGCTATTCTGCCCTTGGTACACCTGATATCACACTCACCCGTATTCAATGAAGACTGTGCACATCTTTTTATACCATAGTTCAAAACCAGCCCAAGGGGTAGTAAACTTCAGTCATAATGTTAATGGGAGAAACCAGAGAGAAGCTATACCGTAGGATTTTATAACTGTTGAATAGTCTTTGTCTTTTCAACCACCAAATTCCTAACACATATCCTTATATGCTCTAGCATGTCTACCTAGGATAATTGTAGATTCCAAAAGACGTATTTGTTGAGTGAACGAGTGACAGAAATACTTGCATGTTCTATCCTTGTGACCTATCACCAGATTTCATCATAAGTCCCATTTTCTCCTACTATTCATAGTTTTGAATGAACACAAATAATAAATTATATAGCCTAATATACCACTTATTAGGGTGCCTTTCATTCATGTTACTATATTAAACACGGCAGGTATAACTACCCATTCTGCTGCTGTATAAAGTGAGGCATAGAAGAACCTGATCATATGCTAGGGAACAGCCCACAACATTAGGTACTCTTTGGGTTTTTCAAAAGAGCTGTGATGTTTTATAAAAGCCATTAAAATTTAATTACCTTAAAATATTATAACACTAATGGCCTGTCACACAGCTGTAATCTCAGGACTCTGGAAAGCTGAGGCAGGAGGATTGCAACTCAGGCTAGCCAACTTAACTTAGCGTGACCCCATCTCAAAATCAAAAAAGAAAAGAAGAGAATATAGTTCAGTGAGCAGGCCCTGAGTTTAAGCCCAGTGCTGCAAGAAAACAAACAGATGTGTTCAGTGGCGTAAGATTTGGTAGAAGTCCTGTTTCATGTGATAGCACTAATGCTTCTGTCAGCCTAAAATACATACTTGTGTGTCTGACACTGTTAATAGTTTAATGTCTGTTCTCTAAATTACATATGTTGAACTGAATTTTATTCCAGTCATCAGCTTCAGTCATTCTTCCAACTTTTCTTGTCTGTTATTAACAGATCCTCATGTGTTTTTTAAAATTCTGTTAAATGTCAGTCATTTCATGTTTTTTACTGGTGTCAGGAATTTTTCTAGTTCAGCAAAAACATCTTTTAAGAAATCACCAGTGGCTGCGCCAAGCCACACCACGCCCTGCACTCAGCCAGTGTTGTGGTTCCCTTCCAGGTGTGGACAGCTCCTCCACCACGAGCAGCGCTTCTCCAGTGCCCAACAGCTACGACGTGCTAGAAGGGGGCGGCTACCCAGGTGACTCGGTTTGCGTGTTGTGCATATGAAAGTTAATGATCACCAGTTGCTTTCAGACATGGACACTATACACAGCACCCACAGTAGCTTCTATGGCTGGAAAAGGGGCATTTTCCTGGCCTTCGTTTACTACTGTTCACTTTGAGCTGTAAATACTGGGATGTCTGAGGAAATCTATTCTTTTATTTTTGTTGTTAGCTTTTTCTTAAAAATGGAATAGCAAGTAATTTTTTCAGTGTTTTAAATAAATGCCCTCATTGTGGTCCACCCTTGGCCCTTGAATTCTGAATTCCCTGCAGCCAGCCCTGGGATGTGAGTAGCCTGCGACCCCGCGGCAGCCCTTGCAGCTCCGGCCACCTCTACCAGGTGAACAGAGGAGCTGCTTGGGGTAGGGTTTTGAAGGGTCCCTTTATCCATGTCTAGAAACCTCTTTCCATTACACAAAGAGCAGCCCTACTGCAGGGGTAGCAGACAGTATTCAAAGAAGAAATAAGCTTTATAATTGATAGTCATCAGACTGTGCTGTGGCTTCCTGTCTCACATCACTGAGAGCCTCACAGTCACCTAACAACCGCCCACCACCTCTTTTTCTGATGGCTTTACCCCTCAGGACTAGCAGAGCCATCCTGCCTGCACGCGACAGTGACATCCATTTCGGAACCGCAGCGGAGCCATGTGTGCTGCACTGACCCCGCAGCAGCACTCACTGTCGCTGTGCTTGTGGCCCTCAGCTTAGCACAGAGGCCCTCCCTTCCGCAAGGACACTTGAGGAAACACCTGATCCTTCAGGTGGCTGTTTCTCTAGGACTCAGTGGTGTGTACATGTGTTTGTGTGTAACGAGTTACAAACTGCTACTACATAAACACTGTAAAAGAATCACTTTCAGATACTAAAAGGTAAACATTCCAAACTGTATAGTGTTTCATGAGGTTGGAGTTAACCTGAAGTGAACTATTCCTGTGACATAGATAAGAGATGCCCTTAAGAGTTCGGTATGTTTGTCTATTGATTCAGTCAACAAGTTTCCATCTTAAAATGAACTGTGCTTTAATAGTGTTACGTTGGGCAAGTTTTCTGGATGTTAATGTTGCACTAAAATTCAGGAGATAAGTAAATATCTACAACAGTGATATTACATGAGTTCATCTTTTACTGTACGTCCATACTAGGATAAATCCTAGGAGTTTAGAAATGTGTGAAATACTCTCCTTTCCTAAAGACATAGGAGATCTGGACTCCATGTGTATAACTCTAGTTCCATTATTCGTTATGCTCATGACTATGGTCCTGTTTAGTGATCATCATGGTCCTATGTTGCCTCACTGTGGAAAGGCACAAGCAGGAGACCTATGCAGTATACACTGCTTTGAAGTTCTTACCCTTCTGAGAAGTCTGAGGTTTCCAAAAGCCAGAGCAGAGCCTCTGTAATCAGCACATAATGATAGCATAAGTCGAGGTTGCAACTGATGAGAAAGATGTGATTCCTCAAGAGACTCTTGAAAAAAATGCTTTATTAAATCAGATGTGCTTTAGAACATTTATTTTTACAGTCTATTAAAGAATACCATTTTACAAAAATATATATATGATAAAAAACGATTATACATTGTTGAGTTGGCTTTAAAAATAATGCTAATAGCCAGGCATAGTGGTGCATACCTGTAAATCCCAGCACTCTAGAGGCTGAGGCCGAAGGATCACTATGAGTTCCAGGCTAGCCTGGACCACCATAGTAAGACTCTTGTCTCAAAAAGCCAAAATACAAATAATAATGATGATAGTAAAAATAGTAAGTGCCAGGTGTGGCGTATACCTGTAATCCCAGCACTCGGGAAGCTGAGGCAGGAGGATCATGGTGAGTTACAATATGGGCTACAAAATGAGTTCAAGGCCTGCCTGAACTGCATAGTGAGACCCTGTCTCAAAAAAAAAACCCCAGTAACAACAGTCAGTGTACTACAATGTTAATACTAGTTGTGTAGCACATAAATTTTTTAGTTTGTTTTGGTTTTGTTTGTTTTTTAGGGCAAATTTTCCTTATAATTCAGGCTGTGTAGACCAGGCTAACTTCAAGCTTGACCAGTCTCCTGCCTTAGCCTCTCAACTGAGTGCTTTGGTTATAGGCATGCACCATCATGCCTACCGTAGCGTTTCTTTTTGTTGATTTTGTGTGTGGTTTTTAAATCTTTGAGTATTTTTCAGTTTTAATAAAACTTTGCTGTAACCCCAGCAGTCTTGGAAGCTGACACAGAGTATTCAAAGTTTGAGCCCAGCATGGACAGCTGAGCAACCTGGCCAGACCCTTTCTCCAAGTAAAAGTTTAAAAAACAAAGTGAGGGCTGAAAGCTGTAGCTCAGTGTCAAAGTCCTGGGTTCAATACCTGGTACCACAGATGACTCAGACGGACAGACAGAGTTTTGTTTCTTAGCTCTAGACCTGCTTAGAGAATTTGCAAAAATCAGAACAAACTCTGCTGGCCACACGTGTGTGTCTGCCTGTGTGTGCTGTGTGAGGAAGACCAGCTGAGGGCTGGTCGATGAATAATACACAGTGTAGGACAGGCCAGTGTATAGAACAACATTAGCTCAGTGGGAAGACGGGTGCCTGGGGTTCTGGTCCACCCACCCACCTCCCCCCCCCACACACACACAGTGTTCAGACTGTCGTGGGAGAGTGCTGGGAAGGAGAAGGAAGCTACAGCTCATCCAGTCTTGAGAGCTAACACCTTTCTTTCCCGTGTCCTAGACATGCACTCTTCATCAGCCAGCAGCCCTGCTCCGGACCCTGTTCCGGAACCACAGCCTGTGCCAACGCCTACTGCCCCTCAGTCTGCAAAGGTGGCCAAGCCCTTCGGCCACAGCTACCCAGCCCTTCAGCCTGGTTACCAGAACGCAGCTGCTCCGCCAACCTCAGGAGTGCAGCCCGGTGCTGTGCCCTACGCGGCCTTCCAGCAGTACCCGCAGGTAGGACGCACGGCCAGGGAGGGGCGCCTGGGGCACGTTGTGGAGCTCAGTGTTTCTAACAGACCTCTGGTAGTAACTTTGTTAAAAGTAGTTAAATCTATATGAAGATACTAGCTGTGTTTTTCCTTTCTTCGTTATATGTTTAGTTTTCAGTCTGCAATCCACAAATATTTTATAGCCAGAAAATTAAGGTTTTAAAAAATCCTGTATTACTAAGCTGGCATTCCCCGCAGCAACTGCCAGTGTGCAGTGTGGCCCAAGCTTTGGGTCAGGCCCTGTGGTCCCGTTTGAATGCTGTGGAATCTAGGCTGGAAGCACGTAGGTGGCACCTGCCAAAGTCTCCACGCACACAGGTCACTTCCAACCCCGGTCAGTTCCCTCACCTGCAGAACACTTACACTTACTGGAGGAAAGTTTAACACTGGTTAGTGAATGAAATGGTAACTTCTGTAATGAACCATCCTTAGATTGACCTCATAAAAATTTCATCTGATGGTGAACTAAGAATAAAAACTTAGAGAAATAGGGAAATTATTTGGTTTTTGCAGTTTAATCTTGGAATTAAGATGCAGAAGGAAAAAGAAAATTCACAAAGATACTAGAGAAGGATGGTTGATTTGGTTCAGGTTTCCCTAACTCTCATTTTGTTAAATTTTCTTTATGATTCCTTTGGTCCATATGAAACACTGTGTGTTTAATGTTTGTATTTGTGCTCTAGGCCAATTTCTTTTGGGGAACCATAATCCACAGTTTCTCCCTACATCTTAAAAATGTAGAAGACCAGGTTTTATCAAAAACCGAAGTAAGGAAAATACCCCTGAGAGGTGTTGGGCTAGGAGAAAGCATTTGAACTAGTGATGGGGTGCCGTGACGACAGAGGACAGGAGTCGGCCAGCCAGCTGTGCCTTTTCCTCAGCTTCGAACCCTTCCTTGTTCAGCATTGCTCATTCTTCCCGCTGTGCTGCAGTGGGTGAGTTGTGGTTACGAGAGACCTCTGCTTGTTACTGTCTGAAACTATGTAGGGAAAGGTGGCTGGCTCAGAAATAGGCGAATAGGAAGGATTTACCTCTCCACATTTCATTTGGGAAGTTATTTTATAAGTTAAGAGGTTGTCTTTGGAATAGAATCAAGTTAATATATGACATTTTAAAACTAACTTTTTTCTGTTTTGTATCACAGTCTTTCCTATACTGTAGTCATAGTATAGGCTTCACAAGAGTTTGGATAAAGGAGACAGACAAAAACTTAAGAAGTCAGATAGGCTATTACACTGTCTCAAAGTATGGGCTGGGGTATAGCTCAGTGCTAGAGTGCTTGCCTAGCATAGACAAGGCCCTGAGTTCCATCCCCAGTACCACAGAAACACACAAATCAAAAAGTCTTATCTTACCTTAGGTTTAAACATCATTATCTAATAAAATTGAAATGCCTTTAGATGTTGCACTTTGTTAGCTATTTGGGAGAGTTCTGAAATCTAAGGCCTTTTTTTTCATAAATAGTTTTGAGATCCCAACAGTTGGCCTTTGGAAAAGAAAAAAAATTTTTAACTTTTTAAGATTTGGAAGAGTATCAAAAGATGCTTAAAAACAAAAATAAAAATTAGAAAAATATTTTCATTAAATACTTGAAAAAACTTGATAATACTATATAGCTTTCTGGGTTTTTTAAGAAACAAACTTAGTGCATGATCAGTTGTAGAAAATGCAAGAAAGTAAGTAGCAATCAGTATACTTACCATCAAGATACAAAGAGCAAGGCTGAGGATATAGCTCAGTGGTGCAGCACTTGCCTGGCAAGTCCAAAGTCCTGAGTTTGATTCCCAGTACCACTAAATAATTTACATATGCAAAGAGCAATATTTGAGATCTGTCTTTCCAGGATTGTTGCTGTGTATTATAGAGGAAAAGCCACAAAGAAGCTAGTCATCCAAACAACTTGTTTAACAAAGGAAATTAATATGAATGTTGTTTTGTTAATTTTTCATTTAACAGTGTAAAGTGAAATCTCTCTGTTGCTATGTCCTTTATCATTTTTAGCTATGTGTCTTATTATCAACTGGTTTACCATAGCTGAAGGTGGAGAACCACTTCCTTTCGTACACATACACACATGCACACATGCACACACACCCCTTTGCTCCTTTATCTCATTATGTCCTTAAGTGAAGTTTCTGTAAGTGCTATTACTATATCAGAGTCTTCGTGTTTTAAGACTAGAATTTGTGCCTCTCTCTTATTCACTATCCATTGAGTGTGTCAACACTGTTTAGGCACTGAGAATAAATACAGAAGGCAAGTTTATATTTTACACTTTGAATTTCTGTTGTTGCTTGTATGTACCTTTGTTGTTTATTCCTTTTAACGATTCTTGTCAACCTTAAGATTAGGAAATAAAAAAAAAAAATTAGGAAATATTCCAGCTATAGGGTGTGTGTATGTATTGGTCAGTGATTCCAGTTTTTATCTTTCATCTGTTTAAAACTTTATTTTATTTATAATATAAATAAGAAATGTTGTTCCCTGTCACTCTCCCCCCAAAAATTTCGCTTTTATATTATTGTTATTTATTACATAATCTATCCTCTCTGCTTGATTTATATCCTACATGCTGCAAGATTGATTTTTATTATCATTTTATTCCTCAACTTCAATAGTTTCAACAATTGTCAACATTTTGCTCTGTTTTTCATCTCTCTCCCAACTTCCTTTAGTATTTTTTTCTTTTTTTAAAGTGGCTTAAAACGATTTATTAGGTAAGTATAAAAATACACGCAAAGAATGTAGACCTTCCAGAGAGAAGCTTCCTGTGGTTTGGAGCTGGGAATATTTGTGTCTTTGATCTGTGGAATTTGTGAATCTACATGAAATGCCAGCTTTGTCTCGAGTCAAGAGCACAAAAAGTAGTAGTCCATTTTACAGGTGAAAGGCTTGAGTTCCACCATGATGCAAAATGTTTCAGAAAATAGTCATTGAGCTCAGCCAGTCCCCACTTCCATTTCTTGATCCACATTTTGAAGCTAATCAGGGTGGAGGGGCATTTCTTGCCTAACAGTATCACTATCATAGCCAATAGAATTAATAATAATTGCTTAATGGCATTTAAAATTTGGTGCATATTCACATTTCCCTGTTTTAGAAATGCCGTCTTATACATGATTTCTATAAATCAGGACTCAATAACTTACTAATTAGGATATGTTTGCTTATGTGTCATAATTACTGTCTTAATTTAGAATGAACCCTCACCCTTTCTTTTTATATCCTTGGCCTGGTAGGAAAGTCTGCATCTGTGGTCCTGTAGATTGTGCCATGTTTTGAATTTGGCTTGTTGCTTCTTTGCAGCATCATTTAACTTGTTCCTTTGTTCCATTTCCTCTCCAGTGGATGTGAAGTCTTAGCAGCCTGATTATATTCAGGCTTAATGATTCACGCAGTTAATTGCATATAAATCTGAGCTCCTCCTCTCACAAAATGCAAGAATGAAATTGTGGCCAAAAGGAACAAGTTAGAGGAGTTTTTACTGAAAAATTGCTCTTGGTGGATACCCCACCAGGAGGGAATTCCACAAGTGAAAACCCTCTCTTCATTTTGGTCTTATGTACATAAACAGAATGCAGGGAAAAGTGAGTTACTCTGCTTACTTCAGAAAAAGAGTTTGAAGGAAACTAGTTGTTTTGCATTTCTCATGTTCCTGAAAGTCCAGCCCCAAGGTGAGGGAGGAGCTGTCAATTAATTCAGTGTACTATGCATAAGAACCCTCTTCCTGGAAGATGTGGAAGGGTCTTTATCTCTCCTTTCTTACCTTTTATTTATTTATTTTTTATCTTTTCTTCTGTGCTGACTGCCCATTTCAAGCCAGCTAACTACAGTGTCTACTGAACTCTATTACATTATGTCTTTATTTCCTTAAGTTAGAATATGGCATATTCTAGGATGTGTATCTTATACTGACATTTAGTTATGTCACTTTGAGTAGTACTAGGATTAGCGAATCATAAAATTCAGTGTTTTGTACTTCATGGTGGCATTATATAAAAACAAAAAGAACTACAAAATCTTAACATTTAATTTAATAACTTTACATTTGTAGTAATGATGCTGTTGTTTTGAAACTATTTAAATAAGTGTGTCATAAGATAAAATAAGTACTATATAGCCAATTCCATCTATAAGGTCTGAATCATGGATTCAGGCCAACCAGGAATTGAAAATATTTGAGGAACAAAAAATGACTTCCATACTGAACACCTCCAGACTTTTCAAGTCATTGCTTCCTAAGTGATATAATAACTACATTGAATTTCCATTTTGTTAGATATTCAAAGTAATCTAGGGATGAATTAAAGTGTGTGGAAGGATGTGAGCAGGTTATGTACAGATGATGCATTATAGTATATAAGGGATTTTAGCATCTGCAGATTTTGGTATCCTTGGGGGACCTGAGAACTGACCCCCTCCCCCTACCATGGATGCCAGTCAAGGGACAACCATCAGGCTCCTGCCACTAGGAATCAAGATTTTCAACCAGAGGATAGAGATGACAGGTACAAAAATTAGAGAACTTTATATAGTAAAAGTATTGTCTTAAATTTGAATTGGAAATATTGGTATGAACTCACATTTTCCTGCTATTTAGAAATGTGTGTTTTCTATCTCTGTCTATTGCACAAGCCTGGAAGTAGTAGCAGCACTGACCACACAGATTCTCATCCCAGGCAGCGTCTGTATTTAGAAGGAGGACGGATCCCTCTGTGGACCAACGAATGGCTCCTTCTTGGTACGGGGAGGAAGAGTATAGAATATTACACCAGCAAGCAAGGGTCTGACAAAGGATAACAAGATACAGCTCCTGTCAGAAGGTCACTGCTGTAGGAGCTGGGGCGTGGCCGGGGGGTCGAACCCAGCGTGGTTCGGTCCCCAACACTGCAGAAGAAAACAGTAAAAGCAAGGAGAGCAATAATAATAGGGTAATGGGACCAGCTTTAAAGAGTTCACACTGGCCAAGAGTTGAGTAATACGAACATCAGATGAACAGTGACAGCAATTAAATCAGCTTGAGTTAGCAAAAATCCATGAATTCTGGTAATACAATATAATGAGCAGAAAATACAAAGCGAAAACTGCTTGAACATCATTGTGGATTTCAGTGGTGTTGGCTTGTTACTCTGAAAGTTGATGATTGATTGCCTTTTTAGCATAAACTGTTCAAAGAAAACAAATTTCTTATATTGAATAGCATTGTTGCTGAAATGTTGTTTCAAGATTTAAACTTACTACTAAGATTTTAAGTTTACCCAGTATTTTTGTTTTGAAATTTTCAAGTATGCTTTAAATCGATTGCACTATAAGTTATTGTACTATTGCCGAGCCAGTTTTGAACCTGATTACTTTGGGTTTTCCTGGTTGCAGTTCCCCATGTAACATAAGCAGATTGACTCCTATCCAATCCGTTCTGTCTGACCTGCTTTGTGTTGCACTCACAGCAGTATCCTGGTGTGAACCAGCTGTCATCCAGTCTGGGAGGATTGAGTCTCCAGAGTTCCCCCCAGCCCGAAAGCCTGCGGCCCGTGAACCTCACGCAGGAGAAGGATGTTTTACCCCCGACTCCTATTTGGGCTCCTGTACCTAACTTGAACTTGGACCTCAAAAAGTTAAACTGCAGCCCTGAGTAGGTGTCTTATACATTTTGTAATCTCGAGTGTAATCTACTTTTGATGAAAATACTGTGTGCATTGGTGACTTTGAAGTAGCATGGTATCATTTCCCTGATGGGAAATTTCTTTCAGTTTGTGTTGAAGCAGGTGTAAAATTCAGTTTCAGTTACCTGTTTCTCTTCTCACCTTGTCTCAGTCCTGTCCTGTTCTCCTGTCACCCAGTGGTGATTCAGAGTCCAGGCATAAGAGTTGGGAAACCATGACTCTAGCAAGCAGCTGTGAGACTTCATGCAGCTTGCTTATCTTCATAAAGTCTCAGTGCTGTCAGTGCTAACACATGAATATGTTTGTCCTTTACTCCAAAGGGTGGGCACCTTCATTGTTTTCAGGTCTTGCAGTTTACAGATTGTGGAGTATTTGCATAGTCTTTACTGGCCGAGCATGGCTAAACCAAAATGCTCTGAAATCTGGAACTATTCGAGCATTGTGTCTACTCAGAAACTTTTGGATTTTGGAGCATTTCAGATTTCGTATTTTTGAGTTAGGGGCTGTACAATTCTGTAATAGTAAGGCCTGCATACAAGATAATTAGTAAGGAAAGACACATTGTGCAGTCAGACTAGTAAATCTGTGATACCACGTCAGCATCACTGAAGAGAAAAAAGAATGGCGAGTGCTGGGGGAGGGCAATGCTCCTGGCTGAGGTCAGTCCCAGTTTCCTGGTAGTTGACATTTGGGTGGACCTGGCTTGATGAGAATCATAGGGTCCAGGCCACCCCAGCATGCCCCGTGGACCTGGCCAGGGCGAGGCACAAAGCAGAAGTGCACAGCCTCGAGTGACCAGAGGGCCCGGCACAGTGTCTGCTGCTTCTCTGCAGTGCCTGAGCTATCCTGGCCTGCTGCTGCCTGCTTCCTTGGCTGCTTGCACCGTTAGGGTTCTTCTGTGCAGCCTGCCTAAGGAGGAAGCACTTCTCAATGGGAGAAACTGCCGGCGTGGCACAGGAGCCCGTGACCTCCCATCTCAAGGGGGAAGGCAGGTGAGGTTCACAGGCAACTCAGGGGGGTCAGACGAAGTGTGGTCAGAGCGCAGAGGACGAAGGCATCCTCAGAGTGGAGAGAGAGGAGCAGCGTTAACTGATGAGTCGGAGATGGACAGCAGGAGAGCAGAAGGACCCCTCCTGAGGGAAAAGTCTGCCTTGGCGTCAGTGTAGCTCAGTAGCGAGTGCTGTGCTAGCACCAGACAGGCTTGGCTTTTGATGTTCAGACCACCAAAAAGAGTAAGAGTGAGGGTGAGAGGACACTGTGCCCTGTCCTCATGTTTTACCCCATTTATATCTGACGGGTGCTCCTAATAGTGTCATTTTTTTTTCTCCAAATGTGTTGTCCTTTCCACCATGAAAGGTGGTCCTTAGTTGGCATCTTTAGCCATGTGTTATATTTATGCTTGTTTGAAGTAACCAGGGCCTTCCTGATTATGGTTACAACATGCCCAGACGACTCACTTGCACCCTGAAACACTCCGACCTACCCTGTCCCCGCAGTGTGTTGTTTTGACAGCTAGCACACTCCGCTCTGCTTGCTTCTTGCAGTTCCTTCCGGTGTACCCTGACGAATATCCCACAGACACAGGCATTGCTGAATAAAGCCAAGCTTCCGTTGGGACTGCTGTTACATCCCTTCAGAGACCTGACGGTACAGTAGACATTTTAAAATACTGCGAATGCTAAAATTGCTTGTGTTCAAAAGATATAAATCTTGTATTTTCTTAGAATTTGCATCTTTGATTTGGAGCTAGAAATAATCAATTCAAATGAATGTTTTCTGAGCAGCTACTTTGCCACAGGTGCTACAGTAAGCTCTTTTAATGCAGAGGTGATTAGGGAAGTGTCCTATAGTGACAAAAGCCTGGCACCATCAGGAAGAAGCTGGAAGCAGTATAGAAGAAGATGGGGAGACTGTGGGAGGCTTCCTGCAGCGGTGCAACGCAGTTGGGGGGAGAGCTGGGAGGCTCTCAGCCGTGGTGACAGGAAGACCCCGGCTCTCAAATGTGTTGAAGCCAGACATTTGTTGGCTGCTGACTAAGTTCTTATACCTCGTCCAGTGTCTCTCGCAGATGCATTATATTGAAGTGAAATTTATAAAGCTTAGGAAAAACAATGGAGCTAGAGAAGTTTTATTTATACTTCTTAGGTTGTATGTCTCCGTCACACTCACTCTGCCTTCTTTGTATTTTCTGATTGAATAGCAGACTGCTTGGCGGCTTCTGGCCGCGACCCCTGTGGAGACACTGTCCCCACTTGTAATCAATTGACAGACAGGTGGTGGGGGTGCCCCGTTTGTGTGTATGTGTGAGACTGTAATAGAATGCATTGATGCTCCACCACTGAGCTAAAACCACATCTCCAGTCCTCCTTGTATTTTGAGACAGTCTTGCTAAATTGCCCTGACCAGATCAGACCTTGCAATCCCCCTACCTCAGCCTACCTCCGCCGTGCTGGGGTTACAGGCGTGCACGCTCCATCGCGCCCTGCTGTAAAGGCATTCTTGCCTAGTGGTGTATGCTGCTTTCACACCATGAACCTGTCTAGCTGAAGAGTGCTTACATTCTATGATTTCCTTGGCCAGCCAGGCTCTCCTGTCAGCTAGACTTTTTTGCTTGATTTGGTGTGGCTGCTTCAGTGTTAGCTTACGGTTTGTGACAAAACAGCAAGAAAGCTTGATAGGAGTCCAGCACGTTGCCAGGTTTGGTTACTATGCCTCTGTGCAAACCGCATGAACCTCTCTGTTCTGAATGTGAGCAGAGGGCTGTAAGTGCCATTTTCACAGGGGCACTATGACAATATCTTTGTTTTCTTTCCCAGCAATTACCAGTTATAACATCAAATATCATCGTGCGGTGCAGATCTTGTCGAACGTATATCAACCCGTTTGTGTCCTTCATTGACCAGCGAAGATGGAAATGCAACCTGTGCTATAGAGTGAACGATGGTAAGCACTGGCTCCTGCAGGCAGTCTGCAGCGTTTCCTCACATCCTGGTCATGGGCTTCCGCATTGCTGTAAGAGCAGCTCTCCCCATCCTGAGCTGGGCCACCTGCACTTTGCCTGCCAGGGCTGCGGTGATGAGGCGAGTGAGGCGAGGGCAGAGGGAAGAGTGACCGTGGAAGCAGCAGGGCGCCTGCATGCCCTGCACAGGAGGCTGCGTTCTGCTGCGCTGGCCCTGTCGTCCCGGGCCGCCCCCACCTGTGTGTGCATGCGCGTCTCCATCCCACTGTTCACTCCCTGCATCCGCCTATCTTACTGGCTTTCAGATTTGTATCTCTGATTGTTTTCTGTGTCATGTAATATAGTAAGTAGGACACAAGTCTAAGGAGGGAGGTTTCCTGTGTCCCGGTTTCCTCCCGTGATACCAGAAAATCAGTTATTTTCAGCCTTTGGATCTCCTTATTAAGAGGCCTGAAGGGCTTTGTTTTTGTCATTGAATGTTCACAGAACTGTTAGTAAACCCTTAAGTATTGATGATAAAGGGAGTTAACTCTGGGATTATTACTAAATTTGCACTCTATTCCTCATCTTCCCCAGTTCCTGAAGAGTTTATGTATAACCCCCTTACACGATCTTATGGAGAACCTCACAAACGACCCGAAGTTCAGAATTCAACTGTGGAATTCATCGCGTCCTCCGATTACATGGTAACAATTGGTGTTAAGTTAGTCCTGGAATACATTTGTGTGGGTTTTCAGTTTTCTGTTAAGTAAATTCTTGACCAAATTCTGAAATTGTCATAGTATTGATTTTTAAAGTACATTAATACTGGAAGTTTATACTTAAAAAACACAATGTTATTTGATCTAGAAAAATGTATTCATCACTAAGTGTTACTGCTATAGCGTGTTATGATGAGCACACACAATGTTTGTTGTTCTCACTTGGATTTAACTACCTGCCTGGAATGAGAACATACTTTTATCATTTAACATTAAAGGCACTTCAAACAGAAAAATGAGTATTTCTGCCCCAAACTGCGGTTTTCAAGGTTTTAAAGATACCACTTTCTGGTTCACTCAATAAAAATACAAAGATAAATGGATAGCAACTAATCTTTCTCTTGTTGGTCCAGTCATAAAATTCTGCCTTAATTATATGGGCTCTAAATGTCAGGCTTCTATTTACAAAAGTGAGTTTTGTTTTTACCTAAGTCATGCTTGTTATCAGTTATATCTTCCCATTTTTATGACTGTGTTTCTTTTGTATCCTTATTTCTAATCTTTGTTATCTGCAAGTATTTAACGTACAGCTAGTGGAAAAGGGGGAATATGCTATGTAGTGGATTTCTGGTGGTTGGCCCACTTTTATTTTTATAGTTTCTGTGATCTTTTGTATCTGACTTAGCCTTTTGCAACATAATTATAATTTTCACATTTAGTTCCATATTAACTATAGTAAACTTTCGCTTAATCACTTTTAAACTCTCAATTTATCTTTATGACTTATTTTGGTCTTAACTCTTCTTAGGGACCGTGGGAATTTTAATCTAATTAAAGCTACAGTGCAAGAAACAATCTTTAATTTTTGTTATGTGATTCATACCACCTGTGTTGGCATTTATCTACCTAGTACTGGATATTGAACCCTAGGCCTTCATGCCCAGCCCTTTTTTATGATTTCCTTTGAAACAGATTCACTTGGTTGCCACATCTGGGTGTTAACATGTGGGCCTCTTGTCTTAGCCTTCCAGAATGCCAAGAATATTGGCATGTGCAACCATGCCTGACTTGAATGACATTACACACACACAAGCTTCATAGACTAGAGGTGTAAGCTCAGTGGCAAGACACTTGCCTAGCATGGGTGAAACCCTGGGTTGGATCTCCAGCACTATATAAATAATAAAATAAAATTTTAAAATTTTCAATGTTTTTAAGCCAAGTGTGGTGGCACATACATGTAATCTCAGCACTGAGGAGGCTGAGGCCAGGATTGTTGCAAGTTAGAGATCAGCCTGGGCTACAAAATGAGTTCAAGGCTAGCCTGAACTGCATAAGCAAAACCCTGTCTCAAGAAAGACCAAAAAAATTAAATCAGTGCCTTTAGAAATAAGGAAAGTATATATAAATCTGCGGTCATCAATAAATAAGCCTAATTCTTCTTTAGGAGATATTTTAGCCAACATTCCTTACCAGGAAAATATTTAACCATTATAACTACCTTATCATGCTTAATCCACAAGTTTTATCATTTCTTTTCATTAGTGCACAAGGTGTTACAGGCAGTAGTCCTGTTTTCTCTTTAGGACAGGGTACTTGGCGAGCAAATACCTCATAGTACTGGGGAAAGGGGGTCTCCGATGTGCCGCTGAACGCATCGCTTCTGCTCCTTTCAGCTCCGTCCTCCTCAGGCTGCAGTGTACCTGTTTGTTTTAGATGTGTCGCACAATGCTGTGGAAGCCGGCTATTTGACAGTTCTGTGCCAGTCGCTGTTAGAAAACTTGGACAAGTAAGAATAGTTTTTACTCATCCCATGTGTCTGCATATAAATATACATAAATCTGAAGTGTCAGCAGTTTACTGGTTTACCTTTTGTTAGTTCAAGTATACGTATCTGTAAACTGTAAGAGTACTTTCCGTCTATCATAGTAGAATAAGAATTCCCCACTTGAGTTATCATGAGTTAAGTGACTCAGTACCTGAATCATAAAGTCACATAAGTTTTGGCATCTCATCACGAATCTGATCTTACCTGACTGCCCTGCGACTCAGCGGTGACCCCGTGGGCCTGATCACCTGTGCATGGGAAGGCCTCAGTCGGGATCAGCAGTCAGGGAGACTGCACAGGGACAGGCTGAGGGGCCACGCCAGCCGCTGCCAGGTGAGGGCCGCCCACTCCACTCCTGTGCAGCAGAGGGCAGCTGCGGGGCGGGAGGCACTGCTTGCAGGATACAGCTGAGCTCTGCTGCAGCACCGGGTAGGTGCCCATTAACCAGAGCGCATAGCCGTGTACTCTGTTCCTTGAAAATGCCAGCTGGATTTGAACTGTTCCCATCTGATAGCCTGTGATGGGATACGTATGTTAATAAACAGCTAGTTCGAGTCATTCCACGGTGTGCATGTGTTTCTAGACATCCTGTTTACAGTAGGTGAAGAGTTTTACCTGTTCAAATTAGGCAAAAGCTAAAACGTTACAACAGTCCGAGTGGAAGAGATGTGGCCATAATACACTCTAAGCAAGGAAGTTCCTCATAAGGCATCCTCCCTCCTCCTGGGGGAGGATGAGGGGCAGCAGGGAAGAGGCACCCCTGAGTGCCGCCCTTCAGAGGCAGGGACTGTGTACCTCAGGTGCTGAGCAGCAGGTTGCACCACGGAGCGGGAATGGAGGCTGGCTGAGTGCTTTGTCCTTGGCTTTTGATTCCTGCCTGAGTCTGCCCATGTGCCCCCCAGGAGCCTCTCAGCTAGCATTTAAACAACCCTCAGAACTCTGGGGACCACGTTGTTTGTGTTCTGGTTTTTGTTTTTTTTTTCTCTCTAGAATCCACAAGATACGAGACTCAAGGTTGTGGGTGACAGTGGGTCACTTCTGCACTGGTTCTTGACTTGGGCAGGAGAGAAGGTGTAGTGCATAAGTACTTTGTTACAAGGGCCATAGGCCTCCCCTCTCTTGCATTTGAACCCAAGAACCCTTGCCCTGTTGACTGTTCCTGGTCACCAGAGCCTGCATCCCACTGATCTTGGCCTATAAATGCAATCTGACCACTGTGAGAGTTAGGAGTCTAAAACTCCAGAGGAGCTAAAAGATTGGCATTTGGTGCCCTTTAGCAATTTAGTTGTTCTGTTTTTACTCTTGGTTTAAGTGTGTGTACTTTTTGAGTCGCAAGTGCTCATTGGGTCTGGGAATAGCTTCACCATGGGTGGCAGTGGGAGAGCCCCCATTGGAGAACTGATTCTGATCCCTGCCCAGAGGTGCCAGGCTCCTGCCCTATCCATGGAGAGGCCAGGCCCCATGCCTGCACGGCTTCCTACTCCAGTAGCCTGCTTTCCTTCCTTCCTGCCCGCCCATGCACAAAGAAGTCTGTATGCAGTGCCCCCGGGAGCCTCTCTGACAGCGCAAAACTATTGGAAAATACATTTGATTATGACAGAAAGTAAAGTGCTAAGAAAATAAAAGGCAATAACAGGTTTTCGTGATGGGCTCTGGAGACATCTCTGAGACAGAGGAGCTTAGTGCAGGGCCAGTTACAGCTCAACCTGGTATGTTTTATTCTGGAGGCGGGTCATTGACCTCTGCCCCCGGTGAGAGGAGACCCTCAGCTCAGAGACCATGAGCTGAAGGCTGGAAAATCAGTCTAGACACCCTCAGCCTCGCCTGCTGGCAAGCCAGGCACACTGTGCTGCTCCCTGGGACACCTGCACCTTGACCTGCTGACGCGGTGCTCACAGTGACATGCACTGGCAGCATTTCACTTACACTGCAAGGAGTAAACTGCATGATGAAGCTAACGGTTGTGGGGCACCCTCATTAAAATGGGAAGTCAGACGGGCAGTGAAATGGTTACTTGCTTTGATAGATTGTGTTAATAAACGTGTTGTTCGTTTTAAATTTTACCGATTAAAATTTATAATTTTTATAACTCCAGTTTTTTATAAAGTGTTTATGTGTCATTCTGTGCTTAAGATGCTTAAATGAGATATATTCTTGTAATGTTGAAACTGAAAGTGTTTATCCTTATGAGTATGTTTCAAAGAAAAGTTAGGAAAAAATCTTTAATTTTTAAAATAATTTCACTTCTACTTTTGGTTTATTATTACGTGAACATCGATACTAAGTTTACTAAGTATGAAATCTAACATCTAAGTAGTTTCATCTGAAAATGAAATGTTTCATCTTTGTTCTGTGTTTTATGTTGGTTGAGAGATAATTTTCAGTGTCTTCTGAAAGTATTGTTAGACTTAACTTTGTTTCATTATTTTGTGATATCAAATGTTACTAAGCATTTGAAACTTAAAATTGTCGTTTTTATATCTAGGCTTCCCGGAGATTCACGAACAAGAATAGGATTCATGACCTTTGACAGCACTATTCATTTCTACAATTTACAAGAAGGGTTATCACAGCCTCAGATGTTGATTGTGTCTGACATAGATGGTAAGCGTCCTGCAAGATAGAAAGTCCCTCTCACTGCAGGCATCAGAATGGGTGCGGCAGTGTTACACAGTGCATGCTGCCATGTCCTGTGAGAATAATGTGTGCACTTTGCTGTTTGTTTTAAAACGATACCTTGTACATGCTTGATTCTGTTTTTTACACCTGTATATGTAGTATACCCACATTTGTGTAGTATATAAGTATGTATTTAATAAGGTGATGTGCAGTACTCACATGTGTAACTTGATGAAAACTAAAATTTTCTAATTTATTATATCTTTTTAACTTTGTTGACTAAAATATGTTTTCCCTATAGATGTTTTTCTACCAACACCAGATGGTTTACTTGTGAATCTATATGAAAGCAAAGAGGTGAGATTGATTTATTTTCTTGAAGTGTCGAAGTATTTCTGTTGTTTGAACTAGACGCTAACACTTGTTCGCTTGATGTGTCAATGTTAGACAGTAGACAGCACAGGTAGCGTGTCTGTTTTCTCCTTAGTTTGCACTCCCCAGAGATGCAGTGACGTGTGCTGTGTTCTGAGGTGTTTTAAGCAGACTATTGCCTTGCCTTCTCAGTAACTGAATGTTTTATCTTTGTTTTCCCAGCTTATAAAAGTCTTACTGAATGCATTACCAAGTATGTTCACCAACACAAGAGAAACACACAGTGCCCTTGGTCCGGCGCTTCAGGCTGCCTTTAAATTAATGTCTCCAACAGGTGGCCGTGTGTCTGTATTTCAGACACAGTTGCCTTCCTTGGGTGCAGGCCTTCTGCAGTCCCGAGAAGATCCTAATCAAAGATCCAGCACAAAGGTACTGTAAGCTTAGCTGCTCCGTCCTGTCCACTGATGCTTCCCTCCCTGCTGGCCAGCAGTGGGACTCTCTTCATCATGCTGCTGGATCACTTCATTCATCATTTAGAAGTCACTAAGAGAGTTTCACTGAATTTAACTTTCTTTATGCCTGTTACAGTGTTCTTTTTACTGCTTTGCAAGCCGTACAAATTTAGAAATCACTTACTCATTTCATTTTACAAGCAGCAAAACAGATTAAAGTGACTTGTGAAAGATTATATGACTTCTAAACGCTAAATATTTGGCTTAATTTTCTAATTCTGGTTTTCTCTTCTGTTTTACAATGAAAAGCACTAAATCTGAGTTACTGTAACATGTTCACACTAAAACTCTTTAATTATAAAGATGTGCTACCTATCATTATGTAAAATGTGGAAAGTAGAGAACAAACTAATCCATTAATTTTGCTTGCAGGTTACTAGCATTTAGTTAAAGACACACAAATAAGCATGATTAAGCATCATAATGTTTTATTTATTTATTTAATGATACTGGAAATCAAACTTGGGACCTTGCACTTGCCAGGCAGGCGCTTGTGCTGCTGAGCTATATCCTTGGCCCCTACAAGTGCATTTTGAAAGTGGCATTGATAGCATTCTCAGATCCCTAAACTCAAAAAAATTCATGTATCTTAGTAAAGGTGAAATTACTTCATTCAGCTGAATTATTCAGTGACTGGGCAGCAATTATTTAAACCTTTATTAATCTCTGAATCTCTCACTCTGGAGTCAGATTTCTTGGGTTTACAGTCTTATTATTTTGCCATGTAGTGACTGTGTAGTTCTGTAATCTTAGCCGATTTAGCTTCCTCATGTGTAAAAGACAGATAATAAAACCCTGTGAGAGAGTGCATTAATGTAAGAATTAAATTGTTTCATACATGCAAAGCATTAAAAGTGGTGCTGGGGAGCTGGAGGTTTAGCTCAGCAGCATAAGCACCTGCCTTGCAAGCAGGCAGTCGTGAGTTCGATCCCCGGTACCGATAAAAAGGAAAAAGACAAAAAAAAAAGTGGTGCTGGGCTGTGTTTTTTATAAAGACAGTGTTGCCTGCCACTGCTGTAGGAAATCTGTGCTGACCACCTCCGTGCCTTTAAAACCCCTTACCTCAGTGGTGAAGAAGAGGCTGTCCTCTTCCTTACTAGAAGAAAGGTAGGCTGTGTGCATAATGAAAGGCTTGTGGCCCTTACTTGATGATCTGTCGGCTTAGGTGGTGCAGCATCTTGGCCCTGCAACTGACTTTTATAAGAAACTTGCTTTGGATTGCTCAGGACAGCAAACAGCCATGGACTTGTTCCTGTTAAGCTCACAATACTCTGACCTGGCTTCTCTAGGTAAGTTGATCTGTTGATGTGAACATTTTTAGCATGTAATTAAATAGAATCTCTTTAGTAAGCATGCTTAGTACCTTGGAGAGAATGGTGTATGAATTCTCTATGTAATGTCTGTGAAGATTACCAATGAACTACATAAAATGCCACGAGTATTTTGTTTATATAATGGTTCCCTGAGCATTCTGCTTAACAATAAACATTATCATATATTTTGTAAACAGTTTTGTTTTCCGATTTACATTGCTTGTATTTTGACTTGAATTTCTTCCTTACAACTCAGATTTCTTTACAATATAGAATATGTGCCATTGCGAGAATAGAATATAGTTGCTTTTATAGCTCATTTTTTTTCCTGCTTCTCTCCAAAGCTTGCATGTCCAAGTATTCTGCAGGGTGCATCTATTATTACCCATCTTTCCACTGTACCCACAACCCTTCCCAAGCAGAAAAGTTACAGAAGGACCTGAAACGGTATCTCACACGGAAAATTGGGTTCGAAGCAGTCATGAGGATAAGGTGTACCAAAGGTAAGAGCCTATAAAAATTATGTTACATGCTTATATCAAAATACACAGTGTCACACTGTTGCGAGTGTAATTATTAAAAAATGATTTTTTAAGAAAAACACATAAGTGAGTAAAAGTAATGTTTTGGTTTGTTCAAGAGCCTGAGGAGAAAGCCCATCATGGAATGAGGGCCGTGGAGAAGCTCTTAAATGAGCACTGATTAAGGATCTTTACCTTTACAGTCACTTACTTTACATTTCCTTGGGTTTATGTGAGTGCCTACTGGAGCAATTCTGGTCTGTTATTTTAAATCTAAGTTGTATATCCTTGTTTAGTTTGCTTTGTTAGGTCTTTGATTTCTGATCATGTGAGAAAATACTCGTGATTAGGTATTGACATAGGTTAAAGTGCAGTGTCTTCCTTACGTCCGCCACATTAGTTTTGGAATGAATACTGTAGAACCTGTACCCAGAACTCCAGCTTTACTTCGCTCTCATCTGCTTTTGGTTTTGTGCTCTGTTTTGAGACAGGATCTTGCTAAGTGGCTCAGGCTGGGTTCACACCTGCAGTCCTCCTGCTTCAGCCTCCCAGCATGCTGGGGTAGAGGTGTGCACCAGGACACCTGACTCTTTCTGTATCTTTGATTCAAGATTAGTGAGAGGTGTAGCTTAGAGTGCGGAGAGTGCAGTGACTGGAGCTCTCAGAGGAGTCTGTCTGCCCTGCAGGTCTTTCAATGCACACCTTCCACGGAAACTTCTTCGTGCGCTCCACTGACCTGCTGTCTCTTGCCAACATCAACCCTGATGCCGGGTTCGCAGTGCAGCTGTCTATTGAGGAGAGCTTGACGGACACCTCCCTGGTGTGCTTTCAGACCGCGCTGCTCTACACGTCCAGTAAAGGTCAGGGCCACGGCAGCGGTGGTAGCGGTGGCTTCCTCCTCCATCTCACCACGCTCTCTGGGGAGGGGAAGGCCCCGTCCTGCTGGAAAGTAGTGTGGTTTAACTTATTGATCTCCAAATAGTACGTATCCATGAGTATTTGTGTGTATGTGCGTGTGTATATGTAAAACCTACATTTCTAAAATCAAATGGTTTTGGTAAACACCTCCTAAATCCTGCTGTGCCATCCGTGGTGTTATTTCTTGCCCTGCAAAAGATGGTTCTCATTAAATTGCTGTGTAGCAATTAGGCCTTCACTTGTTATTTGACAAGTTTTCAGATATTTAGATACTTTACTCTGTTGGGTATAACTTAAAATGAGTGACATTAAAATAAAAATGAGAACCTAATATTCCACTATATATAAAATTGTGTGCACTTCTATAATCTTAGCACTCAGGAGGCTGAGGCAGGAGAATTGCTGCAAGTTCTATACCAGCTTTGACTATATAGTGAGTTCAAGACCAGTTCAGAGCTGTCTCAAAAAAACTGAAATTGTGTGTGTTCAGAGTCTGTACATTTGGAAAATGTTTCATTTTCTTTAAAACATTATTTATTTTTTTAAAATCCATTTTATTTCAAAGAGAAAAAAATTCAAAACATGTCAATCAGGGCAACAGTGATACACATACATTGCACATTCTCACCCCCAAATCATTCACCCAAGCACAAGACATCTGCGTTCAATTGTCCGAAAAATACCAGCACAGATCTTTCTCTTCAGTGAACTCAGAAACATCAGTAGTGTAACTGTCTTACTATCTTTTTATATACATATACACACACACACACACACACATACATACACATGTTTCTTTCAGCTTCTCACACTAGAGAGGTAACACAATGTTTACACATGTGTAAAACACATTACTTACCGAGCTTTGTTTCCATATTGCATTTTACCTTCCATTTTGTATTGGGTACATTAAATTTGTAATTTAATCTAGCTAAGCAGCATCCTAACGGAATTTTTTACTCGTTGTCTTCATTTCTTCCTGGAGTGACATTTGTTCACCGTTCTGTTCAGGTGAGCGGAGGATTAGAGTGCACACACTCTGCTTGCCGGTGGTGAGCTCTCTAGCGGAGGTGTATGCAGGAGTGGACGTGCAGGCTGCTATCTGTCTTCTCGCAAACATGGGTGAGTACGAAAGTAAAGAAGAGGCAAAACATGTTTTTCTGTCCTGAAAACAGAAGCTGGATTACATCCCAAAGGCTTGTTGGCTTCTTTGCCGTGAATTTCCAAATTGACACTCACCCAGGGAGGGGGAAGAGTCGGCAGTCACCTGCAGAAGGGCGGGCAGGGGTGTGTGTTCAGAGTAGTGATGGATCAGTCATACAGGCGAGCATGTGACAGGCAGCTCAGCATGCTACACTCAGTGAACATTGTTTTGTTTTTATTGATAAATTTAGACATGAAATGAACCTTCGCTATTTCCTGTATAGTTGTAGAGGGAAATAGTCATTATTACTCAGAATTATAGTAGCATTTACTGACAAAATCCACACACCATCCTGCTTTTTGTGGCCCAGCATTTTATGTGTGTTGGATGAGGACTTTACCACTAAGCTACACCCCAGTCCAGCATCTGAATTTTTAAGGTGAGTCATCTATACTATAACTGATTGTTTCTCAGTATTCTTCATGCTTGGGTATATTTAAAGATTTTTTTTTTTTTTTTTTTTTTTTTTTGGAGAAAAGTTTCATGTTAATCATTTGTTTCTTCAATATCTCTATGAAAACCTGTGTTTATTTGGCCTCTTCTTAAAAATTTGTTGACCTGGAATGCTCTGCAAAGCAGATTTTAGAGGATCACAGAGATGACCTAGATTGTGGAATTTATATAGATTGGGCAGGAAAAAATAATACTTTACACATGTGATTTTCATTTGAGTAATGGAACTATTGCTTGCTTTCTCAGAAATAGATAACATACAGTATGTTCTGTAATAGCAGTAGTGGCTAAGTGTCCGGGGGAAAACTCAAAGCAATCGTAATCCAAAAGAATCTAATTTGTTCTGATTATCAGATTTACTTAAACTTAGTTCAGAAAAAATATGGAATGAGCAGACATTTCTTTTTTTTTTTTTTTTTTTTTCTTGGACAACAGAAAATAGAATAGCAGACATTTCAAATGAGAGAGGGGGCCAGGCATGGTGGCACACACCTGTAATCCCAGCACTTGGGAGGCTGAGGCAGGAGGATGTGATGAGTTTGAGGTCAGCCTGGGCTGCATAATAAGGTCAAGGCCAGCCTGAACTACTGCATCTGGAACCCTGTCTCCAAAAATTAAAACAAGACAGAAAAAATAGATGAAGTGCATCCTATTTCTTAAGTAATGAAAATATAAGACACGGTTGTGCTCACTGGCATGCGGGTGGCAGAAGCCTTTGTTTCAATTGCTTTGTAGCTGTGGATCGATCAGTGTCATCGAGTCTGTCAGATGCAAGGGACGCCTTGGTGAACGCTGTGGTGGATTCACTGTCCGCGTATGGCTCCGCTGTCTCAAACTTCCAGCACTCTGGGTTGATTGCCCCCGCCTCTCTCAAGCTGTTCCCTCTCTATGTTCTGGCCCTCCTCAAACAGGTAGCTCTCTATATGTTGTTACCTTTAATGACATGTCTAAAAATTCTTAGGTGTGAATGAAATCTTAAATTGTTGCTTTGTGATAGTCACCTAGAGGATTAGGCACTTTAGTTTTAAAGACTAAAAAAAAAAGTAGAAAATAAAGGTATTAGTATTTATAAAAATTAGTATTATAAAATACTAGTATTAGTATTTATAAAAATATACTCGTTAATACCTGTGAGCAGTTTAAATAATGTTGCAGTTAGAGTCCACTCTGTGTGCTTCTGAAAAGCGAGTCCTAGGAAAGGATCTGGTTTTACTGACCATCTTTCCATCGGCTCAGGCACCATCATAGGTGCAGCATAGATTATCTTATTTAATCCTTAAAACAGCCTGGAGAGGCAGGCACTGGTTTCCTTGTTTTCCGCTAACAGTGTAGTTGAGAGAAGCTGAGTAACTTGCTCACATCCCTATTAAACGGCAGATCTGGGAGTTGGATCCATGCTCTCTCCATACTTGATAGCAAGTTTGTCCGCTGTATTTATGTTCTACTGGAAAACCTATCTTCTTGGTTGTAGAAAGCATTTAGAACTGGTACAAGTACACGCCTGGATGATCGGGTGTATGCCATGTGTCAGATAAAGTCCCAGCCGCTCGTTCATCTGATGAAAATGATTCACCCCAACTTATACAGGATAGACAGGCTGACGGATGAGGTATGTGCTGGTGTCCTGGAAGTTGTTCGCTTTGAATATGTGTGAGTGTCACTAAGGTGATAGTGTATTTTCAGTGGTATTTGTTGCAATACTAAGCTGTAGAGGGGACATTTTCATTTGTATTCTGAGATACTGATACTTTCTGATACAATCATGTCACACCATTGATTATTTAGTAAACTGAATCTGGTATCCAATAATGCTAATGTGCGGATTTATAATGTATTTTGGTTTTTGTGCTACAACTATATTCTCTGAAATTAGCACTAATTCACAACATAATATTATGTTTCTAAAGATACATGAGATAAGGAAGCAGCTCGTGGTGCAGTAAGGTCAGTGGCCCGGCTTCCACTGTGACCTGAAACCGAGGGAAGTCAGCAGCACCTAGCACGCCTGCTCTTATTCTTAGTTCAAATATATTTGAGCTTCTTGATTCTACAAGCAAGGTAGCAGTGTGCAGTCAGTTATTTTTTTCGCTTCCTACAAAGTTCTCTAGTATCACCTCTTAGTATTCTAGTGTCCAGTTAGTGACCCATGGTGACACAATGACAGCAGCCTCAACCCCTTCACGCTGTCCTCCCCTTTGCAGGGTGCCATACATGTGAGCGACAGAGTGGTGCCCCAGCCGCCTCTCCAGAAGCTGTCTGCGGAGAGGCTGACGCGGGAAGGTGCTTTCCTCATGGACTGCGGCTCAGTAAGTGCCCTTTGTGACAGCTCCTCGAGGGGTCACAGGGTCGTGAGGTTGCAGGGTCACTGGTCAGCTGGACAAGGGGAGATGGGGTTCCCAGCCTTGGGCCTTGGACCGGGCCGTGCAAGAGGCAAGCAGGTGAGCGCTAGGCAGAGGCTGGTTTTATTTGGAGTTTCTAGTTGGCATCGTGTTCCTATTAGAGATGAATGAGTGATTCATAGCATGGAGAGAGGAATTCCTACCTCCAAGACTCCGCTGTCAGACCAAAGTTCAGAGGACTGCACACATTTACCTGATTCAGCTTCATACAGCCATTGTTAGAAATGTCAGTGATGAGTTTAGCTTAGAAGCCACTGCACAGGGATAGAAAGGGTATGGAACGGGCAGGACAGCTTCACAGCGATACCTTCTGAGCAGAGAGACTCTGGGTAGCCAGAGAAGAAGGGCAAAGCGTGGGGCCGGTATTAAAATAGTGGATGGGACTGAGCCCCAGCACTAGAGGAGACTGAGGCAGGTGAATTACAAGTTCAAGCCCAGCCTGGGCAGCTTAGTAGCTTAGCAAGATCCTTCTCAAAACACTAAGAAAAGGACTGAGGATACAGCTTAGTGCAGAGGCTCAGAGTTCTATTCCTAGTACTGCCGCCATCAAAAACAGTGAACGGGAAATAGAATGAGTCAGTCATTGTGATTAAAGCTTTGCATTCCTGCTGGAGAAATACAAGGAGAGGACCGAGTCTGTTCTCTGAGAACTCTTACAGTTTAAGCAAGGAAGATACAAGTTACTCCAGAGCAATGACGGCAAATCTTTTAGAGCTTTCAGGGTTAACAAACAGCTGGCTGCGGCACGAGTGCCCTGGTTTTGCCCCCATTGCTCTAGATTGTTGGATTTGGACTCATGGTGTGCCAGTCGCCAGCTTCCATCTTGCTTTGATGTTCATTCCTACTATATTTATGCTAATGACCTTGACCTCTTATGCAAGATCATTTTGAGAGGATTCACTGTAATGGGTTTTTTGAACTGTTCAGTTGTGTTAATGTTTTATTGCCTTTTTAAGGTTTTTTACATTTGGATCGGAAAAAGCTGTGACAATAACTTCATAGAGGATGTGCTTGGGTACCCTAATTTTGCATCAATACCACAGAAAATGGTCAGTGAATTTTATACAGCTTTTTGTTTTGCTTGTTTGTTTTTAATGTTTTTATTGACATAAAATTTGTGTAAGATTCACTCTTAGCCATATTAAAGTGTCCAGTTCAGTGCTTTCATACAGTCATCAGCTCTCATTTCTAAATGTAAAAAATAAAAAAAAAACCTTACTCTCCCCAGTAAAAAAAAAAAAAAAAAAAAAAAAACCTTACTTCACCATCTTTCTATCTGGATTCACAGTAGTAAAGTAAACCTTTCTGTCTTTGGCTTCTCTCACCTCCCATTGCATTTGAAGCCCACCGTGTGGCCTGGGTCACAGCTCATGCCTTTGTATGACTGGAGACTGTCCTCGTGCAGTGCTGCTCTGAATGTCTGTGGGCAAGTTCCTGCGTGGACACAGGTCACCAGCCACCCTATAACTTCTGTGTCTACCTTCTGAAGAAACACCAGACTGCTTCCAGACAGCCTCCAGGAAGTTTACTGATGCACACCTCATGTTTTCACTGGGCCTTTACTGACTGTAGACTCACCAATGCCAAGGAAATGCAGTGCTGGGTTCTGGTTTTATTCACTGAAAACAGAGGCCTTGTTTGCATGTTGTAAATATGTCCTTTAAATTAATACAAGCTCAGTGCAATCCTTGTCCTAATCTAGTGTTAAGATTTTTGTTTTTCTGGTTTGACAAGTTAATCTGAGGGTTCATTTCTAAATAAAGTTAATAAGGAAACACTTGTGAAGAAAAGTAATGTCAGCCAAAGGGGGCGCAGGAGAGGAACGCTGCTGAGCAACTGGGAGACCTCTTCCAAAGCTGCAGCTGGCCAGGCAGGCTCGGCACAGTCCGCAGATCAGTCTGGGCGGTGGAGTTCACAGGTGGACGGAACTCCAAAAGAGAGGATGGGGCAAAGATTTCACTTCAGATCATCGTGGGAAGACCTGGAATGGTAGAAAAAGAATCCTGGGAACAAGTGCAGGGGTACTTATGGGAGCCCTCGTGTTGAATCTACAGTACCAGCAAGAACAAAATAATAATAATGGCCTTAGGACCTCTGAGTAACCATTAGGAAGAGACCAAGCTGGGTATTTACCTAACTCCACGCATCAAAATAACTTTCAGAGGAACCAAACATTTAACATGGGAAAAAGAAACTCTGCAGGCCACTGTAAGAAACACTGAGAAATACTTAGGGTATTTATAAACTTATACGAGGGAGGGCCTTTATAAATGAGGAATCTTACAAATTAAAGGTTAAATATAAACCATTTTTATTTATGATTCATAAAGCCAAATCACAGATAGCAAAATTCTGAGATTATCTGGTAGTACAGAATATCTTTTGTTACTATTTGGCAAAGATTTTTAAACCTTTCTGAAAAACCATTTGATGTTAGAGGTTATGATCACATATTCTGTGATACGTGATTACTGCACGATGCAATAAATTATTTTACTCTTAAAGTAATATATAGTAGGTAGGTACACATGTGCTTATAGTGTTGAATAAGTAATATCTGTGCCTAACTGAAAAAGTTTTACATCAAGATGGTAGTGTGATTTTATTTTTATTTTTTAATAGTGACATGCTTTACAAATGTAATTAACCCAAATAATTTTATTCAAATTTTATATGCTATATATTATATGTAGTTTACTTTCACATTAGCTTTGAAAAAGAAAAATCTTAACATATATTCATACCAAATTATTCTCCAAATATTAGTAATTTGTATTAGTATTTATTACTAATGAGTACTGCAAATGATTTGTTGGTAATTAATAAGTAATACATGTAAAATAGACTCTTTGTTTTTAAACTAGCCCTACAAATGGTCTCTAAGCATATTTGCTCATTCACGTGCTCTTTAGGATTCCTCGCCCCCATGGCTGGGTGTGGCACAGTGCACCTGTGACCCTCACACATGAGTTCAAGGCCAGTCCCTGTCTCAAAAAAACAAAGATTCCTTGCCTTTACGTTTTAAAAGCATGAAATTCTCCTGGGAGGCTATTTTAGAGGAAAGCGTGGTATGTACTTGCTGAGCAAACTGGGCTTAGGTAGCCTCAGCGTTTGAATGCTCCCTATAGAAGAAACAAAGGCACACGTGGTGCCCGTGACGTGCTAATCACTGTGAGATTAGCACTGTGTGGCCTATGGGTTATCTAGAAAAAAATCCAGGACATGCTTATGAGCAAACATTTTTTCTAATTTACCTGTAATATTCGCAGCAGACTTGCCAGCATTTTAGATAGGTGCTGCATGGTTGCTGTTCCTGGGGCCCGGTGTAGAATCCGGGCATTTGATTGGTGGGTGGAATCATGGTTTAGATCTTATTCTGCTAACATCTAGGAGGGGGAATCATTCCTCATTCTGTTTCTTTTATCAGACGTATCTTCCGGACCTGGATACCCTTTCATCAGAAAGGACCAGATCCTTCGTGGCCTGGCTTCGGGACAGCAGACCGCTGAGCCCCGTCCTTCACGTGGTGAAGTAAGTGCCTCCCGGGGGAGCTGTGGGCCTGAGCACACCTCCAGGGCTGCTGGGTGTGCCCCGGGCAGAGCCCTGGAGGCTGCCCGGCGCCGTGGCTCCCGAAGCCCGTGCAGGAGCACAGTTTCTGACTATACTTAGGCAAGTGCATCTCGCTCTCTTTCAGAGATGAGAGTCCTGCCAAAGCGGAGTTCTTCCAGCATTTGGTTGAAGACAGGACAGAAGCTGCATTTTCATACTATGAATTTCTGGTTCATGTCCAGCGGCACATTTGTAAGTGAAGTGGAATAGCAGTGATTGAGAGCCAAGATCCTAAAGCTAGGTAACACAGAGTGTTGCAGAAGCGCCGGGATTTGTCACAGATACAGTGCACACCACACGTGCTCGCTGGCTGGGTGGGCAGCACAGCAGTGGGAAGGGAGGAAGGAGCGACTGTCTGGCGGCCACAGTGCCAGCCGTGACGCTGCCTCACCGCGGGCCCAGCAGCCTGCCTCCTGGGAGCACCAGCGGGCCACCTGCGTAGCCGTGTGGAATGACATGTCATCATGTGAAATTAGATGCAGCTGTTTTCTTACGATTCCTACACCCTTTCTGGACCTGAGTTCTAATGAGAGGCACCAAGTCAGTGGCACCGTGTTACTTGTTTCTGTGAGGTACTTTCTGACAAGGAGTGGCTCCTTCTCATGGGGTGAACCCAACTTGTCCCTGTAAAGACAATAGTATGTGAGCGATAGAGAAGTATATATATATATATGATGTACATAAATGTTACATTTGTAAAGAAAATGTAAAAATGTAACTAAAGAATATGAGTTGCTTACACTGTGCTTCATTGTTGGATGACAGCTCTTTTTTGTCACAGTTAGAGAATGAGATTGACTAACACATATTCTGAATTGAGGCCACAAAACTTTGTAATTCTGTTAAAACTTTTATGTGGATTTATTTATGATCAGCCTACTAATTAAAAATATTTTGCTTGACAACTGGTTTGGTGTTTTTTGGGGTTTGTTTTTGGTGGGGGTTGGTGGTATTTTTACACACAGGATATATTGGATTCACTTCTTGGGGGAATTACACATTCCCCTTAAGAATGCACCTGAATCAATATGCTTTCATTAGTTTGTAAACATTACAGTACTTACAAGTATTTGTATTCTAAAAACAAATGATACTATTTTCAAAATACATTTATTTACTAAATATCTTAAATTGTCTTTCTCTTTTAAGTGAAGCATCTTTCCTGCATACCACATGCGTGTGTGCATGCCTGAGTGTGTGTGTGTGTGTGTGTGTGTGTCTGTCTGTCTGTCTGTCTGTCTGTTGCTAGGGGAGAGCCTAGGGCCCTCCCTATGCATGGAAGTACAAATGAGCTATGTTCCCAGCCCTTTTGTGTTTTAGGCAGTGTTGCACTGAGTTCCCCAAGCTGATTCCAAACTTATGACCTCCTGCCTCAGCCCCAGCATGGCTTGGGGTTAGAGGTGAGTGCCACCACACTTGGATTCCTGCATATTTAGAACAGGAAGATGTTTGTGGCCTGTGTGACTGTCCTTTATTCTTATCAAGAAATCTCCCAGAGACAAAATGAGGTAACACACCTGTAATCCCAGCACTCTTGAGAGACTGATGCAGGAGAATCACAAGACTGAGTCTAGCTGGGCAGTTTATACAATTAGTAAAATCCTATCTCAAAATTAGAAATAAAGGGCTCAGTGCAAAGGCCTGGGTTCAGTCCCCAGTAACACCAAAAAAGAAATCCCTCTGGCTACTGCAGTGGCTCACGCCTGTAAACCTCACTACCTGGAGGGCTGAGGCAGGAGGATTGCAAGTTCAGTATCAGCCTGTGCAACTTAGTAAGATGCTGCCTCAAAATAAAAGATGTTTTAGAAGACTAGGATATAGCAGAGTGGTAGAGCCCCTGACCTCCATCAGCAGGGCCATCAGAGAAAGGGGAGAACTGGGGCTGATGTTACAGCTTGGCAGTGGAGGCTTCACTAGGATTGGCCATATACTTGGTTCATTCTCTGCACCACAGAAAGAGGAAAAAAAGAAAGGATCTCATCTACTGGCAGCGTATTAACTGTAAAATCAGTGATCCATTAGGCTGTGGGGTGGCATTTCCTTATCAGTGGAATTTGGGAGGAAATGGGTGTGTGGGCTGAGGGGTTTGGGCTGGTTCTGTGCTTTGGCGATCTCTTTTCTTTAGGTAAAAATAGAAGTGCTGTCTCCTACCCATGGTGGGAATGGGAGGTTACGTGACTCACCCTAACACTACTTCCTAATTAGTGGCAGAGTTGACAACAGAGCCAAGCCTTCCCCACTCCCACCTCCAGGACTTGTCCCCAGTGAGGGCATCTTAGTAAAGTGCATTCTCCAAGGGCAGCTGGACACTGCCCTCTTATCACAAACACTACTCACCTGCCTTTCCATCTGTCATTCAGTAAGCACAAGGCCCTTAATGCTTGCCAGGTAGTTCCAGGCGCAAAACTAAGTCCCTGCTTCCAACTAGCCTGCGCTGAAGAGCAGGGATGCTGACCTATTGGAGCTTCCCAGGACACAGCCTGCTGCAGCCCGTGCCACAAATTCACCACCACTGCTCTAGCGCAAGAACGTGCGAGACTGCAGAATACAGTGGCAAACAGAAACATCACCTAGGATCTGGAGGCAATTCATGTAACATCGATGGGCACTGACCTCAAGTCAAAAGTGTCAGGCCTCAGGGCTCACAGACAGGTTTTCATGGGGTTTGCAAGCAAGAGGTGCAGAGTATTATTATTTGGTTCTGGTTTGGTTCTTGCAGTGTGTATCATAGTGGCCACAATGAGTCACAGTGACCAGCTGTTTCTAAGAGGAAAAACAGGAACTGACCTAAACTGGAGGGCTCCTGGACAGCCGACAACTGAAGTACAGTGGAGGGGCATTTTCTGCTGCGAGTTGGTGTCAGGTGCGGCAAACGCAGTGGCGAAGCTGAAGCTGACCATGGGCTGAGCCTGCGTTCACCTGGTGAACAGTCAGCACTGAGCTCACCGAGGCCTGGTGCAGGAGAACCACAAGTGGGTGCTGGAGCTGGCCATCGTGTTGATTACCTGCTGCACCCAGCGCAGGTCTTGAGTTTCCCAGGGTGGGGCCAGTGTTGAATGGAGAAATGAGGCCAAGAGTCAGAATGCAGAAAGCTGAGGTCAGGTGGGCCACCGTTCCTGGTGGGAGGAAAGGAACTGCCCAACAGCTGCAGTGCATTTATTTATATACGCGGAAGGTTGGTGTCAGGTGAGACAGCTCTGCCTAACAGCTTGTTCACCTGGCTCACCTCAAGTGCACTGAGTTCTTGGGCCAGCCTTGCTGTGAGAGCCCTGTGTGTGATGGCGCTCCAGCAGTTGCTCCCCACAGTTCCCTGCAGGCTGCCTGTGTTCCCTGTGTCAGCACTTCAAGAAGGGTGGGAAGGAGCAGTAGAGGGTTCCGGGGCGGTCTTCATGGAATGTGAGTCCAGAATTAAAGAGAAAGCATTCAGCACCCTGCATCTCTCCCTCCAGCATCCGTCAGCACTTGTGGAAAGGTGGATTTCATCAGAGCTGGGTTCAAGAAATAGCAAGGGATGGAGGAAGCCCAACAGGGAGTGACTTGCATGCAAGCTAGAAGGACACAAAACAGGAAGCAGACAAGGCCGTGGTCAACTCAGTATGCAGGTCCTGCAGAGGTCCCAGAGCTGTTAACACGCGGGTTCTAAAAGGAATGAGCTAGAAAGACAAGGTGTGGTCAGGACAGGTTGCTCGGGACTGAAATTTAGGAGAAGGTGAAATCGTGGGAGTTAGACCCGTAGAGGATGGTGGTGGAGGTAGGCAGCTGACAAAGTTACCGGAGAGGAGGTCAGAGGCCACAGCCTGGGGTTTCGGTGGAGCCTTTGATTCTAAAGTTGCCACCAACAGATGAGGGCGTGGTAGCAATACACGGACTGCGAGGGACTATAGCAAGGAATGCCAGGGACATGCTGTGGCTGGGCGCCACAACCTCAGAGAGAGAAATGAGGATCCTTCTGGTGAGCAGCCGCAGATCTTCCCCAGGGCTCGGGATCCTGGCAGTAGCTACTGTTCAGAAGCCTTTTGGGGTGGTGGTGTCATCAGAAAATGGATTTTAGGATCTCGTGTGGAGAGTGGCACAGTCTTCAGGGCCAGTGCAGTGGAGGCAGATGGGGCAAATATCTGGGCATTTGCTCTGTGAGCAGCAAGTGTGGGTGAGGGTAAGGATGCTTGCTAGGAGCTCCCTTTGCACCTGGTTGAAACTCATCCAAACAGTGGCTCCTAGTGTTGGTGCTGCGGATGGAGAAGAGCAGCTTTTTGGTGAAACTGCCATGCCCATGTGTGATTTGTGCCACCTGGGGTAGGGCCTGACAGAGTCACCTGCTGTGTTCAGAGAAGCGCGTGTCTGTCTGCGCGTGTACCTGTGTGCTTAGAGTACTGTGTGGCAGCTGTCTGTGGAGGTGACAGCATCAACTGGTGAGGCCAGGCAGCTCACAGATGCACTAAATATGAGCCTCCTGTTCAGAGTATCCTCCTCTACACTACTGAGGACACAGGGAAACTTGAAAACTTACAACAGAGTTAAAAATAACTGCAGGTATCATCAGACAGGATTACAGATAACCTAAAGTAAACATAAGTCAAAGGAGAAAAGAAATACTCAAGCCTCGTTTGGCACATAAAAGACCTGAAAAAACAGTATGATAGTATTGCAGAAAATGGGACTGAGCCAGATGAAAGACGCAGCACAGAGGCAATCAGAAGGCAAACAGCTTTATTTACACGGGCAGGCTGACGGGAATCTCGGTTCCAAATCATCAGCCCCACTTTGGGGTCAATCGAACACTTACATAGGTTGATAATAGGAAATAACAAAGGCTAGCAGGGAGTACAAAAGCCTGATAACAGGACTTTCTAGAGTGGATTACATATTATCTTGTCATACATTGTTAGATTTATTTCAGGCAAGTTAGGTGGGGATTTTCTATTCTATAGGAAGATCGGGGCTGGGGTGAGCAGAAGGAGACTCTCTGTCTTAGACTGAGCCAAGCTGTCTCTGAATGGTAACTCCTTGAAATCGTGGAACGGATTAACAGAACAAGACATGCTTTGGTCTGAGTTATGTTTATCTGACATGCTGCAGCTGGCGTCAGAATGCCAGGGCTACTCTCTATGGGAACAGGCTCTTCCTGCCTTTCCTATGCTTGAATATAGTAACAGACTATAAAATTTCCTTTACACTGGGAAGATATTTTATAATTCACTTTTTGTCTCTAAATTCGGACATAGGCTCTCTGCCCACTAGAAAACCGAGATCTGCTTGATGTAGCTGGGAAATGTGTAAGTGACTCAGCAGGGAACAGGTGGGCACAATCAAGGGACATGAGAACTGTTGATATGTTGCCTTCAGTCGGGTTGTGAGCTGACCCAAAACTTAAAGTTCACTTCTTAGTGCCCGATAGGGGGCCATGCAGTTCTGGAGATGTGCGTGAGCACTGCTTCCTAGTAACACACCAGGTCAGTTACAGAGATGTCTATGGCTTGCCTGGCCTCGCAAGTGAAGGTCAGTGTTTGTGGGTTTACTGGGGACTCCCCTCCTAAGAACTTGGTTCCCCCATGAGGTTTATCATTTTACAAGGATGCCCAGAAGTAATTATTCAGATCTTATCCACGGCTGGTGCCAGGAGAGTGACAGGAAGGACCCCGCATCCCAGGAGCATGTCCTCACGAGTGTCCTCAGCACTGCGAGCTGCCTGAGGGCTTCGCTGCTGTTTTTGCTTATGGGTGCAGATTCCTGCCCCATCTGGCCGTCAGCTGATTACTGCGGTGCATACGTTTACACCAGTTTTCTGTAAGAGCTTAAATATTATCCTCAGAAATGAAATCCTTATGCCCTTGTTGCTGAAACAGAAGTATGTATAAACCTTTCACTTTCCTTTTTTTTTTTTTTTTTTTTTTGCCTTTTTGAAACA